CCCGGAGTCAAGTTTTGCCGACCGAGGATGATCTCCTAGCAAGCTTTCCGTGGGAAGAGGGAAAAGGCGTCCACCTTCCTCTACACGATGACATTTTTGAGCTCAGAAAAGACGGAGGGGACACAAGAGTACATGCCGATGAAGATGTGGCAAGGTACTTCGAAGAACAGCCTAGCTTCTTTGCGAGTACTAAGAATTCTCCAAATACCGCCAATCTTGTGAGAACCCTACAGGAGAATGGCACTCCGTCAGATCCGAAAAGGAAACAGGGCACTCGGAACAAACCGTTTGACCTAAATCGTCCCGAGAAAGACATTGGTGAGGTGAGAGTCATGCCTCCCCCGGAGCTGCAGTTTGAACTCCAGTCCACGGAGCAGGACGTTCTGCGTCGAGTTAAAGGGATCATCGGAGATAAACCCGCCTCGGAATTTCAACTGCAGTTCGTGCCTCTGCGGCTGCCTGACAGATCCATAGCTGCTGAGAAGACTAACTAGGACGGTGCCTTGGGAGAAGTCAGGTTGAGTTCCATCCCTAGAGGTCCAACATTATTTCATTGCATCATATCTTCCAAGTGAAAACCGATGGGGAAGAAGACAAACTCCGGCTGAAGTGTCGAATGGGGCCTCACGGAAACCGCGACAAAGATAAGGAGATTGTCCGGAAGGATTCCGCAACTGCACAATTCCCAGTGATCAGTCTGGTGTTGTCCATCGCCGCCGTCTTGAACACGGTCATAGCCACAATCGACGTTAAGGGTGCGTACCTGCAGGGAGGTTACCTTTCTCGAGACATCTTCGTTCGACCGCCAAAAGGCTGGGCGGCCCGTGGGGTTCTGTGGCGCTTTCTTAAGCCCCCCTATGGTATCGTCGAGTCTGGAAGTCTTTGGCAGCTGAAAATTGAAAGTTGGATGTCTCAGCAAGGCAATTTTCCAATCTCCGAGATGCCATAACTCTTCATGAAGTTCGGCGATGAAGGAAATGTTGCTCTGGCTATTCAAAAGGTCGTGGATGATTTACTGGTAGTCGGTTCACCACGTGAAGTCAACGACTTCAATGCAGCGCCTGCAAAGAGATTTGAAGTTGGACGGTTCGTCGTTGACCGCCCGCTAATCTTCAATCGCCTCCACATTTCGCAAGGCAATGATGGTACAGTGCAAATCGATATGAAAGAGTACATGGGGAAAATCGAGTTTCCGGCGCTGTCTCGGGAACGGAGAAAGCAGTTTCACGAAAGAGCCAATCTGGAAGAACTCACGGCGTACCTTGGCTAGGCAGGATCACTGAACTTCCTTGGTCATGGTGTCCTCCGGCAGGCTTCTTTTTGCAGTAAGCTACCTCCAGCAAGCTGTAGGGAACCTAAGAGTCCTGACTTGATTAACGGCAGTAAGATTCTTAACGAACTGCGGGGTTTGACTCCCCAGCTGAAGTACTGTGCTCTCCCGATGCTAGACAACGACCCATTGTATTTGTGCTTCTGCGATGCTGGCCATGGCTCCACTTCGTATGGGCTGAGCTGGATCGAGGCAGATGAGTCGCTGCGGGCACCAGAACAAAGGATTCTGGAGAACCGATCCATGCGCCTAGTGCAAGCAAGGTGCAAAATATCCAAGTACCGAGCTTGGGTGCAAGGATCGTACACAATTTACATCATCATTCCCTTCCCATTCGGACCCCGGTGGACCTCCAGGTCGGTTTCAATGTCGCTGCACCAGTCCGTGATCTCGTCCAAAGTTCCCTCCGCTTGGTGAGACTTCATGGTGTAAAAGTCGATTGGCCAGAAGGACTGATGACCTCCACGGTGGTCTGAGGACGCGTGGTACCTTCGGTTGACCAACCGCTTGTCACTTCCAGACGCGAGGAGGAGGCGACGAATTGTGTATTCTGTGTCGTCGACGTGCGGCTCTAAGTCCTCAGAGCCCCAATGAATGAAGAAGCCCACATCCTTGAGTCGTCTTTCGGAAAATTCCCGACAAGGAAGCACGCTCAACCGTTCCCACATGTCCTTCGAGACCGACCGCGGCAACCTCAAGCGCCTCACGAACTCCTCCTTGTCCACCAGTCCAACCTCTGAGCCTCCTTGTAATCGCACGCGCTGACTCTTGTCGTCCATCTCCAAGGCCTTGAGAGGCACCCGCTTACCCTTGAGCTTAATCCACCGTGCATCCTCCATCAATGGTCTCGCTCCCACCCCTCCATAACATGGCCTACAAGCTCTTGTATCAGTTCCGGTCAGAGGACAAACTCGACAACGGACGCAAGACGCAGCGGTGAGTGAAGCAAGAGACAGAGAGCGGAGACCAAAGCGGCTGTAAGGCGTAGTGCGGTGGCGCTGGTACGCGCAGCAGCGCGAGAATTCGAAGCGGAGCGGCGGTGTTGCTGCGAAGATGCCGAATTGCGCAGCGGCGCGAGAACTCAAAGCAGAGCGTTAGTATTGCGGAGCGGCGATCTTGCGAAGCGGCGGTGATGCCGCGAAGATGCGGAATGCGCAGCAGTGCGAGAAGAGATGGCGATCGCAGCTTAGTGGAGAATGCGGTGCAAGGGAGGCGCTCTGAACGAAAAGGAAGAAAAAGATGACTTCGCGTCGGAGAACCGGTTCAATAAGACGAAGCCGCTGACTGGTGCCTGGAAAGGAGTCGGGCCCGTCCCCGGCCGATATATCTCGCCGCCGGCGTGCGCGTGTAGACGGAGGCCGCCGTCCGCCGTCGAACGTGGCCCGACGGGGTGTGTGTCGTGGGCACTGTATAGCAAGGACAGCGCTAGCCCTAAGCAACTGGAAGTGTTCGTAACGGTGTGCTGTCGGCCCCAAAATACGAATGGTAATTTTTAGCCGGTGCTTGAATCAAGGGGAAAGTAAAGAGACTAGAAATCCGGGGGTTACTCACGCAATCACGAGACAAGATTCCTTGTGGCTTTTTTGGCCTTTAGATTCGCCTCGCTCGATCACCTCCGTTCCGCTCCTTCCGCTGCGGACGTTCAGGGAAACGGAGCTTTAGCCTCCGATCGAGCCTAAAATTCCTATCACAGAGACAAGTTCTTGGAAAGCTTTGGGGAACTAAATAAAAGGAGATCATGGTGCCTTCGCCATCGCCGCTCTATCTTTTGTTGTACTGTAATGAACTGTAGAGTACAGCACTTCTGAAGAACACCGCAAGTGTGGTAGAAACGGGTTGGAAGGACGGTAGAGGGCAGCTTGGTATCCGTGCCTCAGCGGCGCGGTGGCGGAGGGAGCCGAGCGCTAGGGGCGGCACAGTAACTGCAGGAGCGAGCGCGGCGGTCGAGAGGGGCGGTCGGCCCTCGAGTGAGGGATGGAGAAGGGGGCGGTCGGCAAGGTCTTCGGGTACTCAACTCGTTACCCCCAGGGATCCCTCCTTCCTCTCGCGAGCCCCCAGTTTTTATTCCCTCGGCGCCGCTCGATAAATCTCCCGGACGACCGCCGGAAGCAACCCTAAAATTACAGCGATTGGTTGGATTAAAATACGTACGAAATTAGTCGCATCCAACAGCAAGTACAGCACGAGGACAAACAATACACTGCTGGTGCCTGTCTTTTCATCAGCCAATGGGGATTTATTTCCGACCGCTGGAAAACTGGGCAATTTCGCAACACATGCTCTGGGGTGGGGCTTCTATTCCACCTTCCGAGGCCTTCGTCGTCTCCTTGCGCTTGTGTTTGAGGCGCTTTCTCAACAGTTTCCTTCTTCATGCCCTTCTTTTTCTCCCGCGTTCCTATGCGCTCCATACAGCTGCATTAGCATGATGCCATCTGGCTCGAAACGCCCCTTCGCAAGATTTGCTCGTTACCGCAAGCGCACACGCTCAACTGACATGGCACCAATCAGCGTAACAGTTGATGCTGGGACTGCTCCCGCGCAAGGCCAGTCGTGCTTACCGACGGAAAGAACCGGTCAGGACGTAATCGATTCAACTAAAGACAGAAACATTGAGAGTCATTCACAGTCCCAGGGTGCGGGAATCTCGCGCTCGAATATCGTTGATATCAGAATTTCGACTGCCACTGCCCTTCCGAAGAAGCGAATCCGCCAAACCGATAGCAGGGGGGGTTGTTCTCCTATCCCAAGTCCAGGTACACTTGAAGGAGGGAATGGTGGAGTCGGCAGAGCCTTGCTCATTTGCGACAGCGATCCTTTCATGCACCCCGGTCGTGCAGCACGATTGTCAAAATATCTCAGTGCTCCCTCCCCCATTCCCCCATCGCGAGGAAAACGTCCACTTTGGGATAAAAGCCTCACTCTTTCTCCGGTCCACAGAGTTTCACTTCGCCCAGACTCCGCCACGCCCTCTTGTGATTTTCTTGAGAATTCATCACCTCGTAAACAACACGTACTAACTGCCTCGCAAAGGCTCACCGTATCACAACCGGGACTACTACAAATGTCTGGAACAAAGATGGAACTGACACAGAAACATGAAGTAGCGAAGGACTCGACACGTGTGTTGGGAGAGGGGGTCAAGGGTAGGAGGGGGAATATATTGAACAATGAGAAGGGTGATGAAAAATTACAACGACTCGAGGAAGTGCAAAAAATGCTGCCGAGCGAAGCACTGCATAAAACTGCTACGGATCAGAAGCGCAAGTCAGAGACTGGCCGCCAGAGCGACAACGAGATCGAGCAAACAAGGGAGCTATTCTCACAACTAGACCCGCCTCAGAACAATTTACAACAGAGTACCAACGAAGGGAGGCCATCGGGCGAGACATTGGCACAAGGCGGACTGGAAATCCTTCACTCACCATTTCACACAGCTCGGCTTGGCAGTCCTGCACGAGAGGCCAATGACCCGAAATCGCAACCTCCGGTTCGCCATCATAGCAAGCTATCTTATTCTGACGACGTCCGGATCTTAACTGCTTGGCGTTCTTTTGCGGCACGGCCCAATTCGTGCAGCTATGATACTCTCGCTCTTGATGTTACAAATGCTGCGAACGATGCTGGGGGTGGTCCAAAGTTACGTTTTTCTGTCGTTGAACATCGAATGCGCATGCTCCGCGAAGCATTCGATGATATTATTTATCTGAGCGTTCAAGGTTGCATAAAGCGAGGCAGCGAAGGCGATCACTTTACTTTTTTTAATGAAGTACAGGAAATCATTCTCAAAAGCCGAGAAGCAAGAAAGGCCCGTTCTGAAACGGACCGGATTAGCAGAGGAGTCGAATCCTCGAAGACTTGTGCAAGGCGCAAACTACTTCTCGATGGGGTCCCTATTGCGGAGATTGTGCGATATCCAAACGATATTTCTTTGCTCCATGACGTCCGGGAACGTACCAAAGCTGGAAACAAGGCCGATGGCATTAGAGGGGATGATCGCGGAAGCCCTGGTCTGGTTGACAAGAACAGCCAGCCTCAACAAGAAGCTCTTGATTCTGACAATGTTGCTCGTAGCGTGAACAGCGATACCTTAGATTTGGAACCGCGTGTAGTACTGAAGGCTCGCACGGAAGAAACTCGGCCTCTGGTTGGGCGCAAGGAATTGCACATCAGGAATGAGCACCCTTTGGAAGATGAGGTTAGGGATCGATTGGAAAACGGGACTGGCGAAGGGGGCGAACAGAATCCCTGGAGAACGAGAAGGGATGTGACGACTTTACCAGGGCTACAAGAGAGCCATACGAACAGCTTTAATTCAGAATCAAACAGCGGAATGCAAAGAACTAGCACGCAACTTGAATGTGGGGACCGGATGTACTGCAAAGGGAAAAAGGAAAGGGTTGATAAAGGGCGCGACGAAGTCTGGATGGGAGATTCGTCTGCGCACGAGGAAGAAAGGTCAAAAGATGCTTCTCAAGTACACCGTTTAGATTCTCTCGTCGTTGTTGGGGCCGAGAAAGTTAATAGTGTCGGAGAAGAAGTTCCTTCGTCCCCACGTGTGGCAAGTCGATCAATGATTGTGCTTCGAGGAAGGAGCCGAGTTGAAGATGGCCAATTTGTAGATGACATCTCGGAGAGGTCCCTTACGGTGGAAAGGACGGAAGACATCGGAACTGCTCCGTCTAAGGCCCGAGTACTTTGCAATGGGGTCCCTCCGTCGCTCAGCAGCGATGCAGTTCAATCTCAGTTGGAAGTGGCTGAGGATGCTGATATGAGGGGACCTAACAAGAGAAGGCGGGGTTCCAGAAGTATGGAGAATGATTCTTCCTGTACGACAGTACATGTTAAACAGGGGGCACAGGAACCTGGCAGTATTGGTGTGCCCCGGAGTGACGGGAAGAAAAACATTGGGCATTTCGACAGCAGTGATCCTGAAGTGGCAGATAAGGTGGCTACCTTTCCACAGTATCTAGCAGACCCAGTCGTCGCGCACCGCTCTCCAGACGGTGGGGCACTTATGTCGAGGACTGTAGAATCGAGCGTGCGCGAAGTGTCTCATGGCCTAGAGACCAGAGCAGAAGGGTTGAGGAACACAGCGGTTTTGTCGACAAAATCTCGTGACAAGAAGAGGGCTTACGGGCGAAAGTCGCATCATGAAGGAATGATGGATGTGAAAAGGACATTTCACTTTCAGCAGCGTCGAGAGAAGCGACGACAAGTCATCGCTGAAATGCGTGCGATGGCAGTAGCTCTGGACAAAGTGAACATGCCAGTATTAGCGTGGAAGTACAAGACGCGTTTATTGGGCATGTCTCACCTTCGATAGCGACAGCTGTACATCACACCACCTTTGAAGGGTTGAAGGGACTCGTTTCTTGCGAGGTATTGGGGATTGTTGCGTGCTGTGAATACCTGTCGGGCGCTTTTTCCATCCCAGCAGCCAGAATTCTCAATCTATTTTACCGAAAGGAGGAAGCTGGTCAAAGGCTAGATATGGGAAAGTGCTTCACTTCGGAGGTTTCGTGATGCGCAATATGTTTAGAAGAAGCTAACAAAGTTGCTAGCTTTCGAGCTAAGAATGCTGTAGTACGCAGTGTCTTGGACAAGTAGTACAAACGCCCTGTGAAACGGAGAGAAGGGAAAACGCCCTTGCGGCATGGCGATATAAACGCAGTGGCGTAGAAAGAAGTGTTTATCAGAAATGCACAGAGGGCGTTGCGTTGACATCCCGGCGATGGAATGATCGCATCTACGTCCAGCTTAAAAGAGTACTATATACCCATAGGTGTCTAGCCAATAATTTAGAACTGCAGTATTCTGTGCTGCACAGCTCAGCTACCTAGTACTCAGTCAATACTATGTCTCGGACGCTCGTCTTACCTTTTCGTTCCACATGGCCTTGACCTCCGCAAACGATACTTTGGTCATGTCCTGGACTGGCCTTGCCAAATCCTTTTCCTTGTCATAATCCTGTTCCATCCTCACCTCCAGTTGCTCGTTTTCTTCTTTATATGCAGTTTGCTCAATTACAGGATGCACATCACTTTCTAGTCTGGCGATCGTAACTGTTTCGCTCCCGTCGCCCGTGCTTGTCATGTGCAACTCCTCGTCAATTCGCGCCTCCATCGCCTGCTCCGATATCTCATCCAATGAATGGTTCCCAACCATGCTCTCGTTGTCGACGTTCTCCAGTGTAGAACTATTGGCATCAGTCGCGCGTTGACGAGTACCCCGTGATGACAATGTCGTGAATATGGAACGATTCCCACCATTCCATGATCTATGACGCAGTATGTTGTCCTCCAGTGTGCCTTCAGCAATGATTGATTCGATCTCTGTCATGGGCAATTCGTTCAAGTTATCTTCATCCTCATCTGGTCGGTCCATCCACCGTGATTCGAGCTTTTCGAAAGACTGCGGTTTCGACTTTCGAAAAGACCGCAGCGACTGTTGAGATCCTATTCCATCTGGTCGATCTTCCGTGAACCGTCTCGAGGCCGACTCCAAATTAAACACAGGTTGCCCTGGTTGCTCTTCATCCGAACTGGACGAGAAACTGTAATCTTCCGAAAAGTAATCGATGTGCATTGATCCATGTCGGTCCATATCACCAGAAAGTCCGCTCACTGAGCCCGTGGATCCGGTCCGCCCCGGGGTACCTCCCCCGACAGGTTTGCTCGACCTGTTTGCCAGTGCAGATATAGTCTGGGCCGTGCCGGTGCGACCAGACGATGCTCTTCCGACTGACCCGTGCTGACCACCTCCCTGGCCACTCGGACCAGCTGTAATTGCTTTGCGACTTGTGAGTTTTACTCGAGGGGAGGTCGCCTCACTTTCTGTGTTCTTATTGCTAAGAGCACTTAACAAAGCACTGCCCGAAAACTTCCTTCGAAGCGTTTCCAATACTTTTGGCCTCTTCGAAGTAGCAAGTGCTTGCAGGGCCAGCTGATCAATCATTGTCTCCTCAGCCACCTGCTCAGATTCAGCATCGATAGAGGCGAAAGCTGCAAGGAGCGTATCTGGTTTACCATCAGTAGCCCCGCCAGCTCCGGTCCCAGAACTAGCACCGCCGACGTTCCCTGCCAAAATTGACGAGAACGCGCCGTGTGTGCCACCTCGCGAAGACGTTCTCGACAGAAACCTACTCGAGTTGTTTCGGGTTGACGGGACTGTACCAGGTGCGCTCTCCTGGCCATCTTTGGAGCCACTAGCTTCAGACAAATTACGAAGCGAAGTCTGAATCTCGAGCTTTCTCCAGGCAGCTTCCAGATTGGCCTCATCTCTGGCATTTTTGAAGGCAACGTGGTCCAGACTGGGTTCAACACTCTTGTCACCACCTTCCAGAACATCGTCGACGACACGCTGTGTCTTGACCTTGTGAATATGTTCGAGGTCTTTCTTGGAGGGAGCTTTGAAGAGCTTTTCCCAGGCATCGGGGAGCCACTGGGGAGCATCATCCATAGGTTCACGTGGTTCCATGGCCATCTCCTCTTCTTCAACATGCATGAGCAGAGCACGGATAGTGCCAATCGACCGTGCTGAAAACTCTGTAGCAGACTTGACAGCGGCTCGGGACAAGGAGTTCACCGATAGTCTAGGAGTCTTGTGGTCGTCAACAATACCTTCAAACGGATCAGCGATACCAGCATGCTTCTCGTCCCCCTTTACAAAAGACTCCTCGGCGTGAAGACCCTCGACCCAACGTTTTCTTCTGTTACGCAAGCGGCGCAGAGTGCAGGTGACGAGCAAGAAAGCAATGAAGCCGATTAGAGCAAGGGAGGCAACGACAATGATAGACGTCCGCGCGGCGACGGAAAGACCAGGCTTACCAGGATCTAGATTTGTGTTTGTGATTCCTTCCTTTGGGATGAAAAACTCTGTTAGGTCTTCGTCTACCGTCTCACGAATCCAGCCGATGTAGGGAGCGACAGCAGTGTAGATGGTGGCTCTAGCACCCGATGTGCAGATGCTCTCGGCTTCGCCATCCGCAAGTCCTTGTAAACCAAAAGTGACGATACCTACAAGGACAGATACTTTGCCCGACTTATCAACGTCATACAGCGGGGCGCCGGTATCGCCAAAGCACGGACCGCAACTGTTGTCGCGCTTGGTGCAGAGACGGCGCTTTTCATCATTGCCAAAGCGGTCATCACATTTGGAGGTAAGTAGATCTGCGAAAAGGAGTGGTCGTGTATTACCAGTAAGAGTTTCCTGGCCTTCATTGGGACGGGTGCGAAGGCCGTAGCCTTTGACGCGAAGAAAACGGGGAGCGCTGGAGTCTTGTGCAAAGTCCGTGTTGTTGTTGATACGCATGACGTTGTACAAGGGCGGAGGAGGAGTAGGATTTGCGGCGGGGTCGTCGCTGTCGCCGTCATCATCATCATCATCATCGTCGGGGTTTGTATCAGCTTCCTGGCGGACGTCCGGGTTTGGGATTGTGGTCTCCGCAGGTTGATCAGATTCGGGAACGTCTGAAGGGCTCGGAGAGGGCTTTGGGGTGAAAAGAGGTTTATCAAGGTGGACGAGCATCAAGTCATTGCGCTCGACTTCTGAGGGAAGGAAATAGTCGGGATGTGTGATTTCTTGATCGACAGTGCGTCTCGTTCCCTTGGTATTACTGACGCCGCTGATGAGTACGATAGTACCAGGGTTGATTGCACATTGGGCTGAAGTGATGACCCAGGATGCGGAAATGAGACTTCCAGCGCAGCGGGAAGTGATCTGCCCAGATGGGGTTGTGTCTAGGAAGACGGCGATGTTGTCGAAGTCTGTTAAGGATGGTTTGAGACCACCGAGAATACGGAGCGAGTTAGAAAGCGGATGTCGGGGGTGATAGCGACGTGTCTCAGTGGGGTCTATAACTTCGACCGGAGCAGGATCTGGGGAGGCACCGGTGGAAACGACGGGGAGATGGATTTGACATTGAGCGGTTGCACGGGCGAACAAGAGAAGCAGACATGCAAGCGGAAGGGAAGGAAAGGTCATGACATGGAAGGGCCGCGGAGGATGAGGGGGGCGGTGAGAGCGAAGGGGGTGCGCCAAGACGGGTGGGGCAGCGGTGGGGTGGGCGGATGAGGTGGCCGGTACGGGAAGGTGTGCATGGGGGCTTTGAGGAGACGGAGGGGTGGGTTTGGTTCGAGGGCCGAGGGGTGAGGAGGAAGGGGGATGCGCCATGTGGCAGGGGAGGAAAGCGGTCCAAAGTGGGATAAGTTAGGAATTCTTTGGACAGCAGTGGCAGTGTATGATTGTGAGTAATTTTTGGCGCAGGTCGAGATGCGGCATAGGGCAGGCAAGTCATCGGTGTGGATTCCCAGACGATGTGCGATTTTTCTCAATATTTTTATTGAATTTGCTTATGAGACCCGCATGGCCTGCCACGTCCCACGCATCTAGACCGCCCCCTACGTCAGTCCTTCATCACCCCCGCATCGAGACCAGCAAGGCAGACAGACCCCCCTGTCGATGTGGCGATGGTTGAGGTATGAGAAGGGACGGATACTAAGGATACTGAACTACAGTTGGCACTCCAGTGCATTCTTTAAACGAATGATGTGAGTGGAGAAATTGTCAAAATATGCCAAATTTTAGATGTGCTAGATTTTAAGGATGTTTAAGGTTGACGCTTGGACGGCTGTGGCGAAGGCCGCGGAGGGGGAGGCAGAACTCCCCAGCTCCCCCCAACCAACATATGAGTTCAAAAAGGTTGTCCGTAAATTTTGCCATTTGCCCACAAACTCGCTGGACGTGAAGTAAACCCGAGTTTGAACAATCCCACCACGAGTTTTGCAGACTGACCTCCAGCAAGGTACCTGCCCGCAACAAACGGAAGTCTGGTACATCGTTGTGCCGCCCGACGGATCACGTGCAACTGCGCGAATACTCGCTGAAGTTAATATTGTAGCTCGCCACAAGGATAGAAAGGTTCTCAGTCGAAAGGGCGATGTGTTTCGTCTTCTTGACAGGCTGAGGGGGAAGTTTTGAGAAGACCGCTTTTTAGAAGCTTCTACTTGTCTTTCTTTCGCGGTTGCTTCGGCGGCATCTGTGGCAGAACCTGTCGCGCTTTGATCCATTGATGGACTCTGCACAGATGAACGTTTTTCTTCACGACGGGTCGATCCGGCACTGCTGTGATCAGGCAGATGTGAAACTCGTGGAAAACTCACATGCCCCGAGTTTTCGGTATGCTGTGAGTTTTGCAAAACGCGTTGTAGGCACCTGTCGGTTGTGACTCGAGAACAGGATGCGTCTTTGCGAAGTGACCTTGAGGGGCCCTTTGGATACGAGGCAGCTCTGGCCAAGGATTCTACTCGAACAGTTAGGAGCGCCTGAGGCCCGCCCAGTGGACGAAGGCCTGTCGCTTAAATTTAGTGAACCCGGAGACGACTCAGCTGCTCCAAAGGCAATTGCCCACATGGCCGTCCATGCGTCTGGAGTCATATCAATCACCGTTACTGTAGGCGAGTATGATGCTGAGCCGGATGGGGATGAAGGCCGCGAGAATATAACCACTAGGGCCAGAATCTTCAGGATGTCAAAAGACATCGCCGCACGTACAAGTGCAAGTCCGTCTCAAGTAAGAAAAACAGCAGCGGCTGTAGGTAAGACTAGGTGGCTCAACGGACTACTGGAGGGCACCGACCAGACCCTCATTCTAAAGTACAAGAGAAAAGACAGCGCAACTCTGCTCAACCGAAGAGGGTGCCGGCCCCTCCTGCCAGTGGTGAGCAGCCCGGGCTAAGTCCCAACGCAGATCCATGGGTCAAGGCCGGGGAGGCAGAAGTGGCCGGCCACAACTGGGACGTCGGTCAATGCGAGGTCCTGTCGGCGGAGGTGTTTATACCTCACGCTGCCGATGATAGGTAGAAAGCCGGTCGCACACCGGGAGAGTTGGCCAGATCTTGGCACAAATTTCTCCTCCTTGGCGTGTTAGACCGGTCGTCTAACACGTCATCACATCATCCAACACCAACAATGCCAACGCCAAGAAAAATTCTTGTTGATCTCAAGCCACGATCCGCACTTTACAGTGCTGCGACACCTTACATAGGACTCTGTCGTTGTGATCACTGGTCTTCCGCCCCATAAAAGTTTCACACGTGTATGTATAAGCACGCGTGTTCAACGTGAAAAACTGGCCACGTGTCGAAAAGTGCCCCCCTCCCGTCGGCATTTCTCTCCATGTCTGCGTCAGCATGCGGTCCATTTCCCATTCACAAGACGTCCAAAAAATTTGCAATTTGGCGCTGCCGACTGACCAACCGGCACCGTGCCCCGCCAGATCCACCTCTCTTTTCTGAGGGCGCTCTCCACAACGCACCCATTTACCGCACCATAAATTCTCATCCTCCGCAATCCGCCGCCCCTCTCCCAACCGTCATCTCACCAGTTGTCCAACCCACCATCATCATGCCCTTCACCGTCTTCATCCCTTCCCTCCCTCTCCCCGTCTCCCCGGGTCTCTCCCTGTCCGCCCGCCACTCCCGTCTCCCGCTGCGTCGCCGGCCGTGTCTGCGTACCGACGCCCTTCCCCGCCGTCCGCTCGTCCGCGCCTGCGCCCCGCCCCCGTGCCCGGCCGCCCCAACCCCCGACGACTGGCCGCTAGGGCCGCCGGGCTCACCCGCCCGTCTTGCTCCGCGTTTCTGGTTTAAGGGCCTTGGCGATGACGTCCGCCGTCGCGCCCCGCTCTATTTGCGCGACTGGACCGATGGCCTTCGCCTCAAGTCTATCCCGGCCGTCTTGTATCTCTATTTTGCTTGCCTCGCGCCTGTCGTCGCTTTTGGCGGTATCACCTCTGTCCTGACGGCTGGTTCTATGGGTGTCGTCGAGTTTTTGCTCTCGTCAGGTGCTACTGGCATGCTGTACGCTGTCATGTCGGGCCAACCGCTAACTTTTATCGCCCCGACTGGCCTCACTTTGGCCTTCACCTGCGCACTCTACGGCTTCTGTCAGGTAGCCGCAGTACCGTTTCTGAGCACATACGCGTGGGTTGGCGTCTGGGCTTCTCTCATCCTCTTTGTCGCCTCTATCACCAATTTCAGTGATCTCATCAAATATTGCACTCGCTTCACCGATGACGTTTTCAATTCGCTCATAGCCACCAATTTTATTTACGAGGCTGGCCGCGCACTCATCGGTGCCTTTTTCGTAGTCGGCGCCGACAAGACCAACCCCTTCACCGCTCTCTCCCTCGCCCTCGGTACCTTTGCCCTCGGACGGTTTCTCACAGGCCTCCGCTCTTCTCGCTATCTTGTCAAGCGTGCGCGAACTGTTTTAGCAGATTTTGGACCCGTGCTTGCTATTGCCATCATGAGCGCCGTCGCGGCTATCCCGGCTGTCGCTAAAGTCGGGCTAGAGAGACTCTCCATCCCAACTAATTTCACTTTAGCAGGTGGCCGCAGCCTTCTCGTTCCCTTGCTGGCGACACCGGTCCCGGTGCGATTAGCAGCCATAGTGCCTGCTTTACTGCTTACATGTCTATTTTTCCTTGATCAAAACATATCGGTACGAGTAGTCAACTCACCATTACACCGTTTGCAAAAGGGGCCTGGATATCATCTGGACATGCTTGTACTGGCAATATGCACGTTTGTGTGCTCAATATTTGGACTACCGCTGATGTGTGCAGGAACAGTGCAGTCGCTAGCGCATGTTCAGGCATTGGCACAAGTAGAGTCGCAAAACGGAAAGGAAACAATCGTATCGGTACAGGAGAACCGGCTGACTGCATTCCTCATCCACGCGGGCATTCTGGGGTCTCTTTTCCTGCTACCGATTGTGAAACGGATTCCCATGGCAGTAATAAGCGGATTATTTTTGTTCCTGGGGCGCAACATGATGAATGGCAACGACTTCCTCTCGCGCATCCCTTACATGGGGATGGACCCCACGCTGTACCCAGAAGACTCTCCAATGCGGAAAAGCGGAGTACCAGCACGACAAGTTCATGCGTTCACGCTGCTACAATTAGGATGCTTGGCAAGCTTATGGGCGCTGAAACTGAACAAGAAGACGAGCATGTTCTTTCCTGCAGTTATCGCGACGCTGATGTTTATTCGATCGCGGATGGCACCGCGGCTGTTCCCAGCGGGCACCCTTGACGCTCTTGATGGGGAAATTTTTGATGCGACAGACGTGTCAAATGAGGTGCACTCCCAGGACCACAAATTGTCAACTGCTAATTAAAGGGGACGTGGTGGAGATGTTTGTGTATTCGGAAGCGTGGAGAGTGTACGTATTGTATTTTGGATGGAGGGCGTGGCTTCTATCGAGTCGGCAATGGCATGATGTAGCTGCTGTTTTGGGCGTTGAAGTTAAAAATGTAGGACAGAGAGCGCACAGCACCATACGATTTCCTAGTTGTGGCAGACCTGGTATTGAATGTTGAGCTCGAGAGTGTGTGCCACGGATGCTGATTCGTGAAGGTACAACGGTGTACTGGTCGGCTGTTCTTTGTAGGTGTACTGTAAGCGAAGGTAAACCAGCAAGGCCTGAGCAAGAGTACAGTAGGAGTGTCGGCAACGAATAACTCTACATCGCTGTGGCCCCGTATCATTAGTCGAGTCATTACAGTGTCAACCGTGTCTCTCCGAGGACAAGTGTACTGTAGCGAATACTACAGTACTGCCGATCGCAGCAACAGAATCAACGTACTGTATGAGAAGCCGCGCCCGCTCTTCTCTTTCAAGCCTCCAATCCACTGCCCCTTGGTGTGAGACCATCGCGCTCCCCGCCGAAGATTCTTACTGTCAGAGTCCGTTTCTCCTCACCTACCCACCCCTTCTCCCCACACCGACTGTTCGCGAACTCGCGATGCAGTCTCTCGCTCCCCTCATCCGGGCGTTCTACACGGGCGCCCTCCCTCCCTCGCAGCGCGCCGACGCCCACTCCCGCCTCGTCTCCGCCCTGCGCGACCCGGCCCTCCCCGCCGCCGCCGTCGTCCACATCGAGCCCTTCAAGGACGTCACCTCCCCCGCCCCGGACGCCCTCCTTCTGCACTATGCCCTGCACGCCCTCGAGTTCAGCGCCCGCTCGGGCAACAAAGCCACCCCACCACAAGCCCGCTCCCACGTGCTCCAGGTCTGCGTCGACTTTGTCGTCTCCGCCTATACACGCACCGTGTACACCGCCGCCAGACCAGACATCCACACCGTGCCCAATCACGTCCTCAACAAGGCCGTCTTAGTCTCCGTCCAGCTCGGCATCCGCGAGTGGGTCTGCGATCCCGAGGAGGCCTTCCCGCGCTCGGTGCTTGCCCTCATCGACCAGAACGGCCACACGGAGGTCGCCATCGGCAAGATTCTGGCTGGCGTAGCCTTGGCATCGGGAGTCATCGAGACTGCCATCGATACGTCGCGAAAGGACTTTCCATCCGACGACCGTGCCACACTGCGCAAGCGCCTCGCGGCCCTGGCAGAGTCGTTTGCGGACGCCCTCGCCATGGGTATACGCATCAGCGGGCCGCGACTGCCGAAGGCCGTTGCCATTGGCGCCGTGCGTGCCGTGGGCAGCCTGGTCAGGGTGCAGCCGGGCTGCGTCAAGCATTTACTCGGGGTGTTGCAGAGATCTGTGGAAGGGAGGAGCGATCGCATGGGAGGAGAGATCGTCGCGGTCTTGGCCGATTTGTATAGCGAGGGAGATGTCAAGCTTGCAATTGACTGGGACTCCTCGTTGAATCATGTTTCCAATTTGTTGGACGCCGTCGCGATTGGGGAGGTCGCGCTGGGGCAAGGGGAGGACGTTTCTTTGTATCGGAGGAAGCTCACGGCGTACGGAGAGGCTGTGGCCCGCCGTGTTATTGCAATGAGGACGAATTTTGATGTCGTCAAGAGGCTACTTAATGGCTTGATGGGCGTGTCTTTGCGATGGGCAAAGGACTTTCCGCGCGACTTTGTCTGTGCGATGAATGCGTGGCTTGGTATTTTTGACGCGATTCAGGATGCTGAGGTTCATTCGAACGACCTTTTGAATTCAGTCTACACGAGTGTGGCTGATTTGTGCGCAAAGCGATGCATGTTTTCTACGAATGGGCCAGTTCTGCAGGCTTTGGACGGAGCTGAAGAAGAGTTTACGTGGCCGCAACAGGCCAGACCCCGTGACATGCAGACGCTGCGGAATATATATCGATGGGATGAGGAGGCTTCTGTCATGGCGGATGTCGCGAGAGATCCTACGACGATGTCCGCGGTGCTTCTGGCTTCCTCAAAACGCGCAAACGCAGAACCTGACGAAGACGACGAGGACGATCTCGAAATGCCCTGCAGCAGAGCAGAGTACACGAGAAAGTGTATCGAGACATTGGTTACATGTGCTAACATGCACCCGGAGAAGGTCGGTAGTCAGGTTTATGAGATGGTTTGCAACGCCCTGCAAACGTTGGGTCACAAGTTTGTCCAAAGCAAGATATACACCCCCTTTGAAGTACAAGATCTTTGCACAGTCACAAACATCGCGTACAGTATAATCCCATTGTTCCCCAATAACTCACAGCAACTGCAACCGCTTCTCCAAATGGTCCCTGAATTGCTGAAAGCTTCTGTAGAGAAGCGAGAAGCCAAACTCACATCACTGTTGCTTCAAACCACTGCATCTCTAACGAAAACGCTAACTATAGCCCCACCTGCAGTTGTTCAACAAAGTGGTGCCTTTCTGATTCCACTTGCAAAAGGAATTCTTTCGTCGACTGAGTGCCCGGACATGCTCATCTGTTCGGCACTACTTCTAACTCTTTCACTTGACTGTCACGCTCGCAAAATTTTGTATCACAGCAGCCCCCCTATCGACGCCGGCATGATTGCCACCACTTCATCCTACACCGTTGCGGCACTAGGCTCAGCAGCAATGGCTCGATGGGCACTTGTTCCCGGACGTGACCCGAACACAAATCTTCCGCTGAAATGGAGTCCACAGGAATGGAGTGTCCGTGAATCCGGCTTGCAGCGACTTTGCGTAACAGTCTTTCGAGACTTTGAGAAGGCATCGTCGGCGGTGAGTGCATCGAACCTAAACCAATGGGAAATTATGCTTGCCATCGCTCGGGGAGGGGGATTATTCAAGACGATGGCCTTGAGTATGGATGGTGTTTATGGAAATGCGAAAGATGCATTTTGGAGATCTGTTGGGAAAGACACAACGCGGTACTGTGTGAGCGCGCTGGTTGGCCTGAAGACCCAAATCTCGAACGCTCAGAGCGGACTTGACGATGACACCCGAAGTCTAGCTTGTGGTGTTATGGGTGGGATGTTGGGAGCAATTGAAAGTATTCTTGCAGCGTGTTCCCGTCAAATTGCGACAGATGCGCCTGACCTCGCTGCCAATACGATCGGAGAAATTGTTGAATTTGCATCAGCGCAGAGGTCTACCCGACTTGCACACGCAGCGCTGCGACTCATACGTGAACAACTTTCTATCGGGTCTGGTCTCTCTCCGGAACCAGGGATCCAATTAGCAAAAAGAACTTTGGAACAAGGAGGAGAGCAGAACGTTTGTGTAGCAGCGGTTGAAGTCCTGATTGAGGCCCTAAAGCAGCATTGGAACGATTTCTGGCCCTCGGATGCTGTCCACAAACAGTCATCCTCACCCGCCAGCATAACAGCCAATCAACCTTTACAGCGGTTGTACATATTTGCTCTGCAAGGAGTAATGAAGGGACTTGAAAGCGTAGACCTCACCATATGTCGGACTGCGTTGCTCGGGCTGCAAAGTTTAGACAGCTCAAGAAAGTTGTATTCACGGAGTGCAGCATTTCGCGAAAACGGGGCAGCCAAAGCGGTAGTAACGGAATGTATGCGAGTCATGGGAGCTGGAGGTGACGCGCGAAGAGAGAGTCTGACAGAGGAAGCTGTTGAAGTAATATGGGGAGTGGTGAAATTTGATATGGAAGGATTCTTTTCGCACATGCTTCCTGAAGTTATTAAAGACTTGGGGGGCGTGAACGCAGAACAGGTTCAGTCGCTCGTGCAGGCCTTTGCAGAAGCTAGAGAAAGGCCAGGGTTTTCCAGAAGACTTGCGGCTTTCACAAATGATTATGTGTTTCTGCGAGGGTTAAATGAGGTTCAAATGTAGAACACAACGCATCAACGACATGAGCGCATAACGCAGCAAATTGTATTATTGTAGATGCAGGTCATACGTTCGTAGATAGAGGCCTTTTTTTGTCAGTTAATGGTCTAAGTTGAGCAACTAGCAATGGGGGAAAATGGAGCATGGAGCAGCTGCCGCCGCCTGTTGTTGATGTGTGGGGTTTCGTGAGTTACCGTCGTCACACAGTGACCTACAACTTTAGCTTGTGGTTGTTTGGGAAACAACTGCCGTACAGGTGCCGAACGAATGCCTTTAGCACAGAGAACCGTTTTTTGTCGACTTCATAGTTGGACCGCCTGCTTAAGCGAATAAAAAGCATTTGTACAATAAGATGAGACAAGAACGCAAGCTGCCCCCAGGTTCTACGGTTGTATCGATAGGATGGTGCTGTGGAGGAGGCACAGCGGTGTCAGCGCAAAACGCTTCATATGGCCAGGCACGAACGACTTCTCTTCGGGGTTACGGTTCGGTTGTAAGTACAAAGTGGTTTCCGGATGCGCGTACCTGAGATGTTTTCAGTAGATTTCGTTATTATTATTTTTTTTGTGGCTTGAGTGTTATTGCAACAGTACTACGTAGGAATGGTGTGCAGATAACAAGTTATCGTGCAGGCGGGTGCATTCCTTGGACAAACTAACCTAAGGCGTTACCGTATATCCACTCCGACTACAACAGGAGAAGACGATGTCATGCTCTCATCGTCTCCGAGGCAAAAAACGATCTCGTTGCCCAACGACTTCTGTTCTACCCCGTTCTAGTAGACACTAGGAGTCTACCCCGTTTACTGTATTGGTTACAGTAAACTTTACCCTTCGAAGGGAAAAGAGGAATATCTCCGAGCAAGAGGGCTCTCGCGTGTCATAAAAGCGGATCGCTAGGCGGGTGGCAGAGGGGGGCCATGCTTGTGTTGCAGCCACTCGGAAGCGAGAAGCAGAGCATTTGTACACTACACGTGTACAGTATCGTACAGTACATCCAGTTCTTCTTACATAGTGGCCACAGGAGCGTCATATAAAACAGTGGATTCATAGATGACGGCCCACTCCAGCAGCAACAAGGCTGGCGCTCCACGTGCTGTGATGAAAACTGGCAGGGAACAAATCATCCTACACGTAGGATAGAACGGCCCTAAGTCGCGATCCATTTGGTTTTTAGTGTAAAGGATCATTTTTAATTGGTCAAATTTTGCAGCACTTACGTTGATGGACTTCTGTCCATCTCGTCCAGACATCCTTATTAGATGCCTGGATGCCTCGACCAACGGTTTATCTCCACCCCTTCCCCAGCCTCACAAACAAACCTGCAACCCTGCGACCGCGACAACCTGCCCCAAAGGCAACCTCCGTCTCCCTTTTCTCCCTACATTGCAGCCCCCATCTCCATTATCTCAGCTGTGCTCCTCTCCGCAATTGCCGAAAGTCGCGACTCTGGCAGCTTGAACATGATGCGGCATGATCGAACGCTTGGTTCGTTGGCCCTCCTCGCCACCCTCCTCTCCCTGTCGTGCGCTGAGGGCCCGAGCAAACAAGTGACCAAGGGGCTGACTTCCAAAGTTACGGTTGAGGACCGCGAGTCTCTCATGTCGCTGCAAGTGCTCACGTTCACGGACGGAGGCTATACCACGGCGCGACGCGGCGATCCTCATCCGCAGCTCGAATGCGTTGGGGGCGCCGCGTCACGTGCGAAGGGACTACACCCCGTGCGCGTAGACTGCTACAACACCGGCGTAGACGAGGCCTCGCCGCCCGACCGCCCGCGGCCAAAGTGGCATTGCGTCACAGCGTTGCATCGCGGCGTGAGGGTCGACAACTGGGATGTCCATTGCGAGGGGTGGAGCTATCCTGATGATGACTTTATTCTCAGAGGAAGCTGCTGGCTTTCGTATAACCTCGAGTACGAGGAGCAAGTGCCCCTGTCGGAAGTAGGACAAGATGCAGCAAGCGCAGTCGCCGAGGACCCGAGGACTTCGAAAGGGTTTTGGGGATTTCTGCCAGACCTACCGACTTTGTTTCTCTGGCTAGTGGGTATCTTTGTGTTTGTCATGTTTGTAATGCCGTCTCTCAGGAAAATCGGAAGGAATCGAACGCAAAGAGAGGTCTCAGAGACTGTGCCGCTTCTGAACAAGATGGCACCGCTCTGAGACATGACGCTCATCCGCCAATTCTTTTAATGGATTGCTCCGCGACCCCCTCTTTCTGAGGAATGGGGATGCTGCCATTTCCCACTCCTCCGACGTACGGTGATCGCGGCGAATGTGCGCAAGTTTCTTTGTTTCTTTGTGCACAATCTGCACGTCTCATCAAAAATGTTATCGGCCGCAACAATCTGTACAATAGCGGCATCCGGTAATAAGAAGAAGCAATGAGTTTTCGTGTTTGGTTTCAAAAACATTCTCCGTTGTTGTTCACAAGTACGTCTTAGGTAGCTGCGGAAGTAGTCGATCTTTGACTGATGCTTGAGTTTACACGTCGAACGTGGTACCGCCCTCCATCTCGCATCTTATTCTTCATCGCCGCGTTTTCCATTCGAAGTCTGCCGATAACCGCCTCATATCGGCTTTTGCCCATCTCAGCTCTTCGCAGTTCAGCTCGGAGAGATCGTTCAGCTTTGGCCATCTCTTTTCTCTCTTTGACTAGTGTCCGCTTCATTGATTCCGCCTGTGCCTGAGCATCATCCACCTTGGAAGCCATTTCGTGTCGTTGCCTTTCAGTTACTTTCAGCTTTCCTTGCATCTTCTTTCTGGCTGCATCGCTGCCATCTCGTAGCTTCGTAAGTCGAGTGCTCTGCGCTTGGAGACGTTTCACGTCATTAATTTTGGTTCTCACAGCTGCTAGTCTTGAGTGATGACTAGCCTTGAGGTCCTCGATTTCTTTCTCATGCTTCTTCTGAAGAGTAACGACCTGACGAGATAGTTGCGCCGCTTTACTATCTAACGACGCTTTGTCATCCTCCGCTTGACGCAATCTGTTCACGAATGTTCGGCGCATCTCATCAAGACGAGCGGCTGAGAGCCCGTTCATCACACTTGATTCGTTAGGGTCATCCTCAAAGTGAAGTGTTTTGCCATCAAGTTCTTCAAGAATGTCATCGCCACCTGCCATACAGTTCTGCTTTTCGCGACAACTGCGGGTGGTAGCTCTCCGCGGTAACCGCTTCTCCGTTGCAAATCCGTTACAAAAACCACTTTGAGGTTGGCAACGAAAGTCGATTACTCCATTGACTTCAGTCTGCGGTTCAAACCTCACAGGCCCTTTCTTGGGGGCTTCTTTTTGAGTGGGGTATTCCCGTCTCCGGGCTGTCGACGGACTCCTGAGACTACCAGGTTCTATCTTCGCTGCTCTCGCCCGTCTTCTTGGGCCGTGGGCGTTGCGGATCTTGGCTTCCACCTTTCTCTTTGCGTCGCTGGCATCTACATGAGAGAGCGCAGCGAGTCCCACGTTTTTCAATTTTCCGAGAGGCGAACGACTGGCGACTTTGCCGTCACTGCGACCCAACAGAGCATCTCTGTCACTGACTGAAAGATTCGCTCGGTCCAGCAAGCCCTCAAGCTGTGTGATTCGGTATTTAAGTCCACTGATCAGCTCATCGTCTCGAGTTACAATGAGCGGATCCATATGAGGCAAGAGCGGGGGAGTGGAACCACAAGAGCTCGTGAGAGAACTCGTCTGTCGGGAAGACATAGGTGATCGAGGAGTCAGTGATCGAGGAGTCAGTGTCCGGTTCGGTCTTCCCTGAACAGACCTCTGCGATGCGAGACAAGAGCGAAGCCTCTCGTTTTCGGCCTCAAGATTAGCAATGTCGGCTCTCGCCCTTGCAAGATTTGCTCTCAAATCGCTAATCTCCACTGAGTCAGCCTCTGTATTAACCTTTGGCTTATTCCTGATACATTTAGCCGTTTCCGCATATCGCAAGGTGCCCAAGGTCTCCTCACGGCTCGTATCGGCTGGTGACACGCAAGCGACTAAGAGAGTCCTCGCGTTCCCGCCGAGGCTATCCTGCAGTAACCTGGTGAGCTTGGAATCGCGGTACGGCACGTGTCGTTTGGGGCTTCTGGAATCCTTCCTAGACGCGTTATCCGCGAGGGCCGAAATGACTTTTGCGAGAGAAAAGAGCCCCTTGTTAATCTCGACACCTTCCGCAAACCTCTCCCCCGTGACGGCTGTGCGCTTCGCGCGCTCCGAGCCCGCCAAGTCTACGAGATGGAGCTTGGCGGACAAGCACTGCTGATGCGAGGCGCCAGTGGCGTTGCTGAGGGCGTCTACTGGCTCCATCTGAATAGTAATGGTAATGATAGAATGCGAACGGCTGGATGAGGCGTTCATCCCCGTGGCAGCCGTCTGTCTCACCAGAGCGCCCTCGTGAATGATGGCCATAAGGTCGTTCTCCTCCGTGACGCACTTCTCCTTGGCACCGTCTAGAAAGACGGCATGCGCTGGTTCCCCCTTTCCGGCCTTCCTCCTTCGCTCTCTGACCTGGACGTTGACGACGCCGAGCGGGGCGCGAGTGCCGTCGACAAGGTCACGGATGCGCTCGCGGTAGATCTCGACGAAGCCGACTCTGACGGTGACATTGACCCCCCCGGCTGTCTCGCGGGCGCGCTTGGTCTCGAAGATGGCGCGGGCGACGCGGTCGGTGAGATGGTGCATGCAGTAGCTCTTCCCCGCCGACGTCTGTCCGTACGCAAAGACCGTGGCGTTGACGCCTCCGAACAGCCCGGTGACGAGGGGGGCGACGTGGCGGGTGTATAGGACATCTGGCGGTGCGTTGGGGAGCGACGCATAGACGGCGTCGAACGAAGAGAAGACGAGGTCCGGCGAGAGCGGGCGCGAGACGTGTACGGCGGGCGGCGTGGACGTCAGGCTCAAGGTATCTGCGGCGCCGTGCGCTGTCTCGAAGGGGAGAAGCGGGCGCGCTTGCACGACGACACGCACGGCCTCGGACTGTGCCATCGCGGAAGGGAGGCGTGGAGCGCAAGAAGATGGGTGGGGGAGGGGGGGGACAAGAAATGGGAGCTGGGGGCAGGCGGAAGGGAAGATTTGAATGGGGGCATTTAAAAAGGAGCATCGCAGGAGGGGAGAAACTGTGAGTGATGAATCGGCAATTATCTGGGCTTTTCAAGTCCATGTGGGTGCTGTCTGTACGGCCGGAACACACACTGTACGAGTCGGCATGCTGACCCTCCCGTTACGCCCTTCGTATCTAAACAACTTCACTCTCGTCTCTTCCGCATCCTACGCCGCCGCACCCCCGCTACAACGTCCGCAACCTTCGGCCCATATCGCCTCGCCACGCTTGCCAAATCTTCCCCCGCCCCGAAATCCACCCCCGCCAGCCGCAGCTCCCCGCCCCCAAGACGCCCCGCCGCCTCGGAGAAGCTGCTCCACATCGATCCCAGCACCATCCTCGTCCCCGCCAGACAAAGCACGTCCGCCACCGCCCTTCGCAGGCACCCTACCGACCGTCCGTCCCCTCCACCTGTCCCCGCGCAACCCAGCCGCTCGTCTGCTTCTCGCCCCAGCCCCCACGTCGCTCCCGGCAACAGCTCGGCCAGCGCCTCCGCCCATTCCACGCTGTCCGCCGCCACAAACACCATCGACACCGTCTCCCGTTTGCTCGCAAACTCGCTCAGCGCCTCCTTCACTCCACCCACGAATGCCGCGGGCCCGCTGGCTTCCCGCCAGTAGTCGATCAACATCTGGTCGTCGGCTCCGTATTCGGTCCGCGCGTTAACCCGCGCAATGTCCCGCCCCGTATCGAGGTGCCGCACATGCACCCCGATCGACTGTTCCAGCTTTTGTCTCACTTCACCCACCAATGCCCGCACCGGCTCTACGGCTCGGAGTAGCCGCAGCTCCCGGTTGGCCGAGTCCCATCCAGTCAGCCCTCCTGGCCGTACTTTCATCACGTACGCTGCCTTGAAGTAGATGTTCCGAGTCGTGCTTCCTTCAATCACCTCGTCCTTTTCTGCCCCGCCGCCCTCCATTTGCATGTAGTTGTAGTTTGCCCACCGCAACCACATCGCATCGTATTTGGAGGCAGACCGCAACGGCCACGACACACCTATCCCGTCCACGACCACTAGCTGCTCTCCATTCGTCAGCCTGGTCTCAAACAAGTCTTCGAATCGCGCGTCGCAATGCCGGTCCGCTTCCCACACTACGACAGGCGCTCGCCCCGTCTTCCGCGCGAATGCTAGCGCAGAGCCTAGCGCTCGCAACCGGTTACCAAGTCCGTGCATTACATGCACCACTATGATGCGCGGCAATTCGTCGGCCTGCTTCGCTTCTGGCCGTAGTTTCATCAGGTTTCGTAGCAATATTTCGCGTTGTGCCGCCCCCATTCGCGTCATCAGGTCCCAACAGAGACCGTAGGAATCGTGTAATCGACGACCAAGCGCTAAGTTCAATGCAAATGACTTTTCATGTGAAAGCACCAGGTCCGCAGCTGAAGGAGGGTGCGAAACTGCTTTGAGCTTCAAATATACTCGTGAGCCCTTGCCAGTTGACATGCGTTCATATCGCGATACCTGGAGTGTGTTTTGCCGACCAGGAGCCATGCCAGCCAACTCAACCACCCTTGTCGCCGCCCCATGCCACTGTGGTAATCGTTCTAGCAGTAACGAGTTATAATCTATACTCACTTCTGGCAGCAATATTCCGTTTTGCCTTCTTAACGCGTCTCCATGGGAGGTGTGTGCAAGCTGGTTATAGTCTAGCTTGTAACGCTTCAGCCCGACTCCCTCAAGCCTGTTGAACAGATTCTCATCGTCCCAACCATATGTTTGGATTCTCTCGTCGTACCCTCCAACCTCCAGGAAATCCCCTCTTCGCACCAATAAAGCCCCATTCAGATGAATCTCATTATCATTGCGGGCATTCTGCCAATGTCCGCTCCAAAATCTTCTCGTTGCAGGATTGTAATAAACGCTCGTATTTGCCGTGTTCCCAAAGTGCGCGTTGAGAAAGGCGTTCTCAATTCGATAATCGCAGTCCAGGCGGATAATCCATTCGGACTTCGCGACCGCCACAGCCAGATTGTACGCCCTCGTGAGAACCCACTTTGGTTCTCCAGTTACCCTGATAGTCTTGAGTCTCTTATCATCTGCCCATGCCTCAATACTCTCTGCCAAGGGTGGAGACGATGACCAGTCCACCAGCACAATTTCAGCAATTCCCGAAATTGTAAGCCAACTTGGCAAAACAGCTTTCAACAACTCTTGCCTGTTCCGGCACGCAGCCACGATGCCAATGCCCTTGATCGCAGAACCCTGCAGTCCTTCAGGGGAAGGCACGGCGTCGAGAAGGGGAATAAAATCGCTCCCTTTCCCCATGCCCCACCTGCCGCCTCGTTGCCATGATGGCAATCGCAGCGTCGACAGCGTGACTCCTAAGTACGCCAGTGGGAAAACAACTAGACACATCATACGAATAGTGCTCTGCCAGAACGGAAGGCGTTTAGAGGTATAGCGGGAATCATGAATGAAGGGCAACGTGACGGGATGTGCCGGACGCGAAGCCGCCCTGTCGAAAAGGAGGAAGCGCTTGCGTGTGCCCCGTACCTGCCGTTCTATTTCCCTTTGCATGGTCATCTGAGATCAGTTGAGTAGTTGACAGAACTCAAGGCGTAAGGGATTTGGTGCGGAAGACTACATTCGCGGTTTGAGGCTTGTGCTGAGGGATATCAAACATTGGAAATGTACTCTGAATACGGTACAGTTGTAAGAGGCAGAAGGTTGTCGGAGGCGAATTGAATTTGACGATGACAGCATCAAATACAAATAAAGGGAATGGAAAGATGGGTGAGCGCTGTCGGAGATGGGTGAGATCTTCCAATGTCCCGCGATAGCATCCGGTAAGCCATGAGCGCGGTCGAGACAATGGCGTAGTACGTGTTAATTTTATTAGTGGTTTTGATGGATTTTTGTTCTTGCAAATTCAAGTGCCATACCAGATGTGGAGCGATGGACTGCAAGAGCATCACGGACGCGGCGCGGACACTGCGTGACGCCCTTTGACATAAGAGTGTGCTACTTTCTCGCGAGGCAAAACGCGACTCAACATAGGAACGACATGATGCCCATGGCTACACGCTGATTAGCTCCTAGCTCCATTCTCTCAAAATGGCATACCTTGAGTTGCCTTGCATATCTCAAGGGAAAAGTTTATACACGACGACCGAAAAGGAGCAACGCTAAACCTAAAGAGACTACAGTGCACTTGCGCCGCCCTGCCGCATCCCCCGGCAACAATTCCTCATTACGGACAACCCGACGCGATTGGACTCAGCTCTTACGCAGTTTTCGGTGCTTCACTGGTGCGCCTTCTAATCCTCCATATCATCGGCCTCCAAGAAAGCCTTTGCGGCGGCGTGGGCTTCTTCGACAACTTTCCGGGGCACTAACTTCGCACCACCGTCTTTTCCATCCGTAACGGTGATCATCTCGAGCTCAGTATCCTTGTCCTTGCTCTCATCATGTACCTTCACCAAAATCTTAGCGAGCTCCTTCACGCCCTCATCGCAAGATATGAGCGCCTTACCGTCGCTGCCATTGAGCTTCAACTTCTCGAGTTCTGTCCTTGCGGCTGCCTTCGCCTTCCCGAACGCGCACGCGTAGTAGCGATACGACAAGCCACTCGGCTCGATGAGATAGAGCTGGGGCCCATCCACGTCCGCAACGCCCAGCAAGACAGCGCAGCCGAATGGACGCACGTGCCAATGCAGCGTATAAACGTGGACGAAATGGGCGATGCGATCGGCGAGGACGTGCCCGGGGATGGGTCGGCCGTAAAAGTCCTTGTACTGCTCAGCTTCTGCGCGCGCGTGGTCAACAATGACACGTCCATCGGAGATGAGGCCGCACACGGTGAGAGTGGCGTGTCTGGCGACGATGTGCGAACGGCGGAGCGTGCCCTGCACGAGCATCTTGGAGATGACGGCCTTCTCGACAGCGAGGACGACTCCGTCAGTGCAACGTAGTCCTACGCAGGTACCGCTGTTTTCGACTGCTTTCGCGGCATACTCGACTTGGAAGACCCGCCCGTCGGGGGAGAAGGTAGTCGAAGAGAGATCGTATCCTGTGCCAATTGAGGCCATGACGAACGCGATCTATGCTCTGGACAGAACTTGACCAGCGGGTAGACCGGGGAAGGGTCTGTTAGGGGTGGGGAAGTTGAGATGAAGCGCGAAGGGCGGATAAAGGTGGACAAAGTGACGTAATTGCGATCGATGCGAGCAGGAGGTTGCTGTCGATGAATCTATGTCTGGATCGAGTTCCAGCATTATTGGCATCTGTGAAACGCCGAATGTTGCTGTTCGGTCCCGTTACTAGTGTTGTCCGCGTGTACACGTGGACACGTTTAGCATGAAGAGCACATTTCTTCTTTGAGATAAGTCGTTGATGAGTACCCACCGGAACAAAAAACCACCAAGAACGAGGCCTACGAGGGAAATTGCCCCTCCCTCCCTCTGATCTTTACTCAGAAGCAAACGACGGTCGCTCAGCAATCGTTGCCCGAACATGCCAGTCTGAGATCGTACCGTCCCGTTTTTCAATGTGTAAGTTACCCCGTCAAACGTGCACCCTACCCGGTCCGCTCACCGCGCATTTTCTCATCCATTTAACCTGCGCAGTCATGCACAACCGCAAAATGAACCGCCCACTATTAGCCCCTAGAACTCCCGCGTTCTGCGACTTTCCGTGTTCTACGGGGTCAGTCTAGGCGCGAACAACATGCCACGTCCCCCATCTCCACAGAAACCTCATTTTCTAACATCCTTCCCTGCAACTCCCAAAACACGACCGATACATCCAGCCAATGCCCCTGTGCGTGGCTGCCGCGACCTTCTGGGCGTGCTAGCAGCTTCCCGTCGCCAGCTCATCTCCTCCTTCGCTTCGCATGCCTCCCGCTACGCGTTTTCCGAGATCGAGACTCCGATTCTCGAGCCGCACAAGCTCTTCGGCGGCGCTCTCGGCGCCACCAGCGATGTCGTATCCTCCGAGATGTATACCGTATCAAACACTGATCCGCCCGTCGCGCTCCGCCCGGAGGGTACTGCGGGCGTCATGCGGGCCTTGGCCAACGTAGGCTTGACAAAAAGGGCTACTGCTAACGGCACCCGTGTATGGTATGCGGGGCCCATGTTTCGCAGAGAGCGCCCGCAGGCGAAGAGGTGGAGGCAATTTTGGCAGATGGGCGTCGAAGCCGTGCGCGATTCCGCCGTCTCCACAGATGCAGAGGTGATCGAATTGGCCATGGGATTTTTGAGAGAGCATGCCAAAGTGCCTGTTAGATTAAGGCTGAATACCTTGGGAACAAAGAAGGATCGCCAGAGGTTTAATGATGAGTTGCGTGAGTGGTTGAAAGAGAGGTACTGGGCTATCTCTAAGGTTTCGAGGGAACGGTATGATGCGGGCAACTGCATGCGGATTTTGGATTCAAAACTTGCGGAGGATATAGACGCACTGCGGGGCGCGCCAAGACTACCTGACTTTGTGGCCGTAGAAGAGCGTGAAAGGTTTGAGGAATTGCAAGCATTATTGCGGGAGGCAGGGATTGAGTTTAAGGTGGACGAGAAATTGGTGAGGGGACTGGATTATTATACGAGCACGGCGTTCGAGTTTGATGGGGAGACAGGGAAGGCAGTGTGCGCTGGAGGGAGGTATATGGACGTGATTGGGGCGAGCGGAGTGGGGTTTGCGATTGGACTTGATCGGCTGGAGGATGAGAGTTTGTGGGAAAAAAGTGGAGCGGTGGAGGCTTATGAACGAGATGTGGAGGGCGGAGTGGCTATTGTGGGACACGCAAAGGATGCGGGGAGAAGCGAGAGCGAGATCGGACAAATATGTCGGAGACTGGCAAGGGAGCTTCGGAAAGAGGGGGTGCGTACAGGAGTGAGATTGAGCGGGAGTGGGCTCGGCAAGGTAGTGTCTCGGGCAATTCATGGTGGGGCTCGGGCAGTTGTGGTGGTTGGGCCGAAGGACATGAAGAAGGATTGTGCCCAACTGAAAGTAGTGCTGGAAAATGTAGACAACGGAACGGGAGATTTGGAAGAGATCGAGTTAGGATCAGTAGTAGAGCGGGTTTGCGCAGAGGTTGGACGCACAAGAAGAGAGAAATGAATACTGTATAGATTTATTACCCCTTGTATTAGGCTTGACATCTGTGTACCAAGATTTGCTGAGCGCTTGCGCGACGACTGCGACTAGGAAGCAAGTGGGGGCGTCAAGTATGTACGCCCAAGCAAATATCGGTGCAGGTATTCGTAACGGAGACGGGTGACAAGTGTCGGCAGGTAGAAACAAAATGTATTCTAAATACCATGAACCTTGATCATTCTACTAGCGGCGATATCCTCTTCAGTGAGAAAGGACTTAACCTTTTCGCGCTGGTCTCCCTGGAGCTGGATGACCTTGCCAAGTTCCTTGTTATCGACGACGCAGCCGTTGCAACAGAACTCCTTCTTGAAGGCCTTTGTGAGCTTTGCGAGATCGAGCTTGTCATCCAGACCCTGGATGGTGGTGAGCGACTTGCGTCCGTTGCGTTGCTGCAGACGGATGTGGACGATGCCTTTCGTTACGACAGCATCATCGCCGTCGGCATCGGCGAACGGGTCAAACGGAGCAGAGACCCCGGCAAGGGCGGAATTGTCGGTCATTAAGCGCGGGAACGGACGGCGGGAGATGGCGGGAGCGCGGGTGCACGCTCTCGGGGGACGGAATGAGGCGGTTAGGGAGCGGGGGTGGCGGCTGGGAAGGGTAGAAGGGCGGGGTGGGCGAGGGGAGGGGCGTTTGGTATGAGCAAACGCAGACGAAAAGTAGACGAAAAGGTGTGAAAGAGTGCCGGGTGGGGGGGTAGCAGGAGGTATTTATAGGGGGCTGTGAGAGGGGGAGATGTGTACAGTAAGTCGAGTCTGGAAGGGCGGGGAGCTGGCGGGGAGCTGGCGGGGTGGGGGGGGGGGGGGGGAAGAGGGTACGGAGAGGCAGTTTGAGGAGGTTGCGCTGACGTAAGAGTCGTGCTGCGAGGGCTTGTAAGTGTCGCTTTTCGCGTCTTCCATCGGGCCAATCCGCGCCCCTCCACCTGCTTCCGTGGAAGGTGGTTGCCCAACCACAGTCCCGCATCGGCCCCAGCCGGCTGTGATGCCCACTAAGGTCGCGACATTTGGTCCCCGAAAAACACACCGCAACTATTTTTTCTGCTGTAATTCGCCCGCTGTACAGTGTTGCCAGCGCCCTTGCCATTTGGAAAAACAGAAACTATCATTTCCCGATTTGTGACATATCTGCATTCCGCGTCCCCACTCCCCCCCCCCACTCTGCCCATGCCTCAAGATTACCATACCAAGGGTACTGATCCCGCTCACCTTCCACACAAGACTCTTTGCAGAACCACCCGTTTTACAACATCTCCCTTTCCAGATATCCTCAACTGCACGCACCCAGACAGCCTGCTTAACACAGTTTTATTAATCCCCCTCTACCTATACCCAACTTCGTCCATAACCTTGTCATCTCTCCCGTCCCCCACGCCGGGTCCGCCCACCCCATCATGCCGTCCCTATCGCTCACCCTGCCGGACCTCCCCGCCGACATCATCCGTCACATCTTCTCCTTCCTGCACGCTTCCGACATCCACCATCTCCATCTCGCCCTTCCCGACCGTTCCTCCCTCCGCCACCACACGCGCGACCCCATCCTCTGGTTTTCCCTCTACAGTCGCGACTTTCTCCGCTCCCCCCCGTGCCCGCCCCCACTCCTTCGTGTCACCCGCACGGGCGCCCTTGATTGGCAAGCAGCTTACGCCGAGGCCCAGAGACGGAAAAGGGCTATCGCTCTACAGAAGCGTAACGCTTGGGGCTTTCCGAAAGCACATCCAACAAACCAAAACCCTCAATCCAGTAACACATCCCCTACCCAAACTCTCCGCGCAAGGTTTGCTTGGGCTGTCCGACTAGGGGATGCATCCCCGCAACCAATCACTCACCCACCCCAACAGTCCCCAGCTGTCGGGCTTGACTCGTGATGCACGCTTTTGCTTTCACCTGTGCTTTCACCCATCTTTGCAATTTTTCTATCACCTAGCCTTATCTAGGTGACTGTCATTGCACATGGCCCAGAGCTTGTCGTTCGTCGGTACCGCACACCGTCGATGCCACGGATACCTTCACTGCCGTCAGCCTCATACATCATACTAGACCCACTTTTGTACACAAAATGCTCAGGTGACTCATTTTGTCTCAATTTGTTTCCGGCTCTTGGTCGTAACACCAAGACGAAACAAGTCCGTCATGACTGCAGCTCGCTAACAAGCTCTGCCTCGAGTTCCACCTCGCCTCGTATACGGGCCCCTCTGCCGGCCCCAGCTTGCCAACCACATCTGTTGTTTCAACGTCCCAAATGTAAACAAAACCATCTTCCGAACCACCCACCACCACACTTTCCGACGGCCCAAATCCAGTCCGAATGAAATTTTTGCTCGTGTTTTGATGCCCCTTGAAACGTCGAACAGCTTTGTTCGTCCGCACATCCCACAACCGATTGGAGTTGTCCTTGGAACTTGATAGCAGCAGGGTTCCTGATTCGTTCGTCTCTACTGACGTCACCTCCCCTAGATGGGAGCTCATTGTTTTCACGCATAAACCGGATACAATGTCCCAGAACTTAATTGTCGAGTCCTTGCTTCCTGTGATAATCATGTTTCCCCGAGCATTGAACGCAATGCTTGAGATAGAACTCTTGTGTCCGTTAAACGTTTTCAGAATCTGCTGTGTTGCGGTATCGTATAGACGCACACACCGATCGTACCCCCCGCTGGCCACGGCGTCCCCCGTCGGATGAAATCGCACGGTGTAGACGTCGTTTGAGTGCCCGTAAAGTACGGCCTTGCATTCCGCATCGCCGCGAAGATGTTGTTCTTGATTCCTTCTACTCCCCTGCGATCCATTTGAATACACTTGGTCGATACCAGAAAAGCGCCCTGTTAAGATAGGATTCCTCACATGACCAACACGACCGAGACCATCTTCGGCAGACTCGGACCTGCTTCGCACGGGCCATGGGGTGTTCGTATTTGCTTCCACCAGCTGAGAGGTATCCCAAATACGAACCGTTCCATCGCCACTGCCGCTTGCCATCAACTTCCCATTGGCTGTCCCGCTTATGTCCCAAATCCGCGATCGATGTCCCTTCAGCAAAGCCTTGCATCGGCTCGTTGACGTTTCCCACACTCGGATCGTGTTGTCACTAGACCCGCTCGCCAATGTGCATCCTTCAATGCCAACAAAAGAAACGCACTTAACGTTCTCGTAGTGGCCCACAAAACTATGTTGGCGAGTATTCGGGATCACAACACTTTCAAAATCCTCCAAGATTGTGCCGATACGAGGCGGAGCTTTTGGCATGTGTCGTGATGACCCTATTTGAAAAGCCAGAGCCTGCTGCATGAGCTGGACTAGTCGACCAGGTGGTATTTCCTTTGCGTTCCGTACCGCACCACGTGTGCTTCTTCTGCTTGTCGGAATGCTTCCTTCCCTTTGGAATGCATCAAACTCAAGAAGACGCGAGTATTGCTCCACTAAACCAGAACGTGAAGAAGCGACACCGTCCCAATCCCGGAAAGAAGGAGCCTCAGCGACGGACTTGCACGTCAGCAAATAGCAAAGATCTCGAAACTCATCCGCAGCGTGTGCGTACGCCTCAAGCTCTTTTAATCGCAGTTGCAACAACGAGAATGCTTTTTGACTGTCTTGCGCCTCGACCAACTCCAGAAATTGCTGTCGATAAACCGCATACCGAAATGCTTTCATGTTCTTAAACGTCGTGCGGGCGAGTAATCTTTCGACCTCAGGCCAATCGCCATCCAAGATAGCTCGCTTCATTCGCTTCATCTGACTGCGCCTATTTGCTGCATTCCGGATTTTGACATTGGTCTCGTCTTGAACAACCATGGATGAGCCATGGTAACCCTCGTCTTGTAAGTATTGAACTATGGTCTGGATGATATCGTGCTTGACGTCTGGATCATTAGGGTCGAATATGGATTGATCTAGAACGGCAGCCCGCAAGCTAGGCTCGGATAATCTTGGACGCTTTGATTCGTCTGAAGTACGGCGGGTGACGTGGCTGGACTGGGCCGGCAACGAATGCGTTCGATAGAGATCTGACATGCCGTGGCTCAAATGGAAGTCCTACACAGCATCGCAACCCATGAAGTTGTGACTGTGCCATAGACTCGGAACTCACTGTTTCGACTCGATGATACGGGATTTCGCCGCTTTGTTGGAAGGCTGTTGTGGAGTTGGCCCTTCAACTTGCCATAAACGACATGTACGCGAGTCGAGCACTCCACTAGGCCTTACTCAGTAGGAACGCAGAGTATGCGTTGAACGATGTGAAGCGCGATTCTGCGATGGAGATGCTTTAACCTCTTGTGCCACTTAGCAAGGTAAACTCTCCTTAGGCATCCTGTGTGTCTTTTGGTTGAGGCGGTAGGAATTGTTCAACTGCTGAAACGGAAACAAATGGGAGCAACAGTTGGGGCGCACTGTCAGATTGCGGACGAATTACACTAACAACGTACAATTTTTGCTTGCGTCTCTGACGCCTGTGCGGCGTGCCTGCCTGCGTGGCGAAGGACATTTTTAATCTTAATATTGTATACCCAGTTACTGGAGATAATGTTAATCACATTATTTCAGTGTGCCATTTCCAAGATAAAAAACGGATGATAATGTTAATAACATTAATATCCCATACCTACGGAATCAGTTCTTTTTTCCCGTTTCCCCTACTGATCGTGAAATCTCCCTTTAATTTAACGTCTCTTTACTTACAGCATCGGTGTATGCCGTTTGTTTAACTTAATGTGTACCTTATCATATACCTTACATCTTTATTTATGTAAATAGCTCTGTTGTAAACAACAGAGCTAAGGGTGACCCCACCGCCAACAAAATTTCTGTCCTAAAGTTCCAACCACTAAAGTTTGGACCGATGGACTAAAGTTCGGACCGATGGAAGAAATTTTGAACCCCACCGCGCCACCATTTGTCCTAAAGTTTAGAATTTGGGAAGGATTCTTTTCCAAACCAAAATTATTTGGTCGAGATTTTTGTCCAAAGCGCCGTTTGGGCGAGCTTCGTTCTATAGTAACGGTACAGAAAACATCTGAATTTCATGTGCTTACAGCTCTACCAAAGCTCTTCCAAATGGCATTGGGGCAGTTTTGACTGAAGTCCCATCAATAGTGTGGGACGCAAAAAGGAGTGTTGTGCAGCCTTCGCTCGTGGACATTTCCCATCTTCTCCCTCCTTCTCGTCTTCTGAGAAGTGCAGGCAATGGCTGAGGTGGTTACTAGGACTGATGACTCGGCAGTAAGAGTGAGGAAAAAGGGTAAGGGACTGGGGTGGTCAGACGAGGAGAATCTTGCCCTGTGCGTTGCTGAGAGCGCAGTTCCAGAGTCCATAATAGGAATTGAAAGCGTGGTGTACTTGCCGAGTTGATAATTCCCGAACAGGAGCCTACATATTATGGAGAGCGGGCAAGTGACGAGCAAAAGTTGCCGCCAGTTGTGGAACAGACGCATGCAGTAGCTTGCTTCTTTGCGCCAAATGTATTTCTACGACATACTTGTAGCCTAATTGGGGTGACCCTGAATATGAATAGATGTATCGTGTTACAGGCGCGGTGGGGTTCATCTCTGAATCACCACCTCCCCCAAAGCGCAGCTTGATTAAAAGATAGTAGATCCAATTACCGGAGGACAACTGTCTGCTTTTTGCGATTTTGGGCAAGGCGCGGTGGGGTCACCCTAAGACCCCAACACGGGCGGGCGATGAGAGAGAGCGGCAGAAGTACTGTACAACAGCAGGGCAGACTGCGGTATTCGTACACGTGTAGAAGCGACTGTAGCACAACGCTGCCCTCAAAAACCTATTCGTGGATCAGATTGTGGTGATTATTCGAAACAACAATGCATGTCCTTCAGCAACATCGTCGACAGTGCCTCCATTTTCAACCATATACAGAGGCAACAGCGTCTGGTCATCTTCCTCCCCAAGTCAACGTGCCTGGGTGCTTCATAAGAGCAACTCTTTTTCGGCCTCAGCGCTCAAAGCAAGGCTCACAGAAAGTGCCGAAAAGTGCCCGAGTTGAGACGTCTTGTGCTTAAAGCGTTGTCATCCACACTGCCTACGTTGTCACGTCCTTTACTACTTCATACACCTACCTGACCTTTCAGATCACGGGCAGTGCCAGGTCTCACTCCCTCAGAGCGCACCCTCCCCCCTTCCCCCCTTGCCAGAACAGACCTACACATCCTCCTTCGCTCTACGTTTATCACATCTACACGCCGTCTCTCTTTCTCTTGCATTTCTCCAAAGACAGAACACCCGCGCGCAAGATGGTCGTCCCAGAGAGGACTCCTATCGTTGGTGCAGATGATTCCTCCATTCCAATCGGATCATCACCATCCTATGGATATTCTGGCGCGCGCCGAAATCCCTTCGACTTTACTCGTCGCCGTACTGTTTCTTTCCGCAACCCTTGCCTACTGTTTCTTGTGCTTCTCTTTATACTCCGACTCTTTTTTGCTGTTTTCACCACTCCAGACTATGGCGTTGGATTTCTCTTTGTTCTCATCTCTCTTCTCCCCGCAGCCGTCGTCGGTTGGTTCATTTTGTCTCGCTTCCGAGACGAAATTGTTGGCAGGCCTTTCTTGTTCCTACAATTTCTTATCGGAGCCATCCCGCTTATCTTGTTCATTATCCCACTTGAATTGATAACCACAGCTGCCGCTTTGATCCCCATCGTATTTGCCATTCGTGGTGATTTAGAGGAGGATTTGCCAAAAATAATTGAGGCTGCCGAAGGAGGAAACTCTAAAGCCGTGCAACAGTTAATTCAACAGCTTGCACAATCGATTCCGCTTTGGGCGATTATTCTCTCCCTGGTGTTAATCGCCTATGTAACAGCTGGCACAGTTGAAGAAGTTGGGAAATGGCTGGTTGCTCGCCGGTACATCGGTCTTGAATGTATATGTGGTCAGGACGAAAGGAAAGTCGGTTGTCGTGGCATCATGGCTTCTGCTTGTATGGCGGCTCTCGGTTTCGCCACAATCGAGAATATTGGATACGTGTCGGGAATGGCAAGAGCGGCCTCACAAAACAGTAGCGCAGAACTGCTCTTTGTTTTTCTTGGTCTCTTCCGAGGTCTTCTTGCTTTCCCAGTTCACGTCGGAACCCAGTTATACGTCGCGATCACAGCATCACAGAGGCACATCTTCATGGACGACGTCAGCGTGCCGTGGGCCCTTTTTCATGCAATACTCTTTCATGGCACGTTCGATGTCCTTGCGTTTTTATCAGGAGCCCTTGTCACTCTGAGATTGTGGCCTGCTTGGATAGGCCTGTTGGTACCAGTAATTGACATTATCATGGTTGTTCTGCTCCTCCTTGTGTGTAGGGCACGGTATAAGGCCTTGCTGGAACGCGAGAGAATGGCTATGTCAGAGCCTGTGTAAATACAAGGATACATTCACTTCTTTAAACCGCGTTGCTCATCATTTGCCTTGGTATTGATTTTCAACCTATCATGGGCACGTACGACCCGGGTCGAATAGCAGCCAAGCGATGTGAATGGCTACCTGCTTCTTGTACCAGACAGGTAAGTGGCAACGATCTCCATTTTTGGCGCAGATCTGCGAAAAGCTGCTGCTGTTGTAAGGAAATTGGCAGAACAGCGTTACTTATGCCTAGTTTGATTCACAGTTAGGGTCGGGAATTTACTTTAGGCAGGAGCAAGTATCGCTTCTGTTGGCCGCGATGATTGCAAAGCTGCAACTTTGGACACGAGATTAGGGGAAAGAATAACTTGTAGGCAGCAACTGTCCGCTGCAAGCGAAAAAGCTGGCTGTGTATATGATACCCAAGAGGCCCTCCCGTCATATGCTGCGAGCAGTAGGAGCCACATACGGAATGTCCATGAGGAAGAAGATTTCGCGTTCATTCCGAACGCGAATTGGAGGTTCCTTTGAGTTACCAGGATATAAACGAAGAAACCGATGGATTAGTTGCGATTTCGCAGTCATTGGCGCATGATTTCGTTGAAGTCATCCACGTACCACTCGCGTTTTCGAAAACTTTCTCCTATCAACCCTTTGGATTCCTGTATGGTTCAAGCTGTATCCGAGAGCGCGTGCCTTCGATCTCATCGACCTTCGTAAATAGCCACCAAGAGGCAAGTGTTAGTGTCGCCAAAGATTGGATGGCGATTACAGTTCCCGTCGACCGATTCACAATTTGGATCGACTTTTGAATTAACGTACCTATTGAAAATGGCACTGCCAGTGTAGGTCAGAAGGGCAAAAGGGTATTCTTCATGTGGCACTGCAAACAAGTCTACTCTTGCATGGGGTCGTCCAGGGAAGCGGAAAATCCCAAAATATTTCCCTTGCCCAATAGTCAAATCGTCAGTGAGTACGCCCTTCTTTCTCATTTCTTTGACTACTTTGACAAACCCGAATCTTAGTTGCTCACTCGACCCGCAAATAAGGATGTCAACGTCCCCGCAATCTTTTTTGCCTCTGAGATAGCTGCCCGCGACAGTAATGTCCAAGGACTGGTCCACAGATTTGACTACCATACGAACAAACTTCTCCAGTTCAGCCACATGCCTTCTCGGAATACGTAGTAGCAAGTCTTCGTAGTGACGAAGGCCAATCTTTTGATTCCGGTCGAGAATCTGAGAATCGTGCCTTACCGCATCTCGTAACTGAGTAACACTTTTGATCCCCTGAGCTATAAGATGTAAGGCTTTGACGGGGCCAATGCCCCACACGTTGCAAAGCTGCCTGACAGCAGTACCCTCTGCGTTCTCTAAAACATTTTCAGCCTGAAGAAGTCTCCCTGTTTTCACAATTTCAATGATCTTTCTCTCCAGCTTGGTTCCAATTCCCTTCCCGCTTGTTAGGACAGCGACATCATCAACTGTTGTGATGTCTTGACGAAGAGCCCTGATTCTAGCAATGGCCCTTTGGTAGCCAGTAGCTCGAAACTGGTCTTTCTTCATTAGACAAGATTCTTGAACAACGCCCAGCAATTCACATATTTTCTCGTTCATGGGAAAATCGCCGCCGGAAAAGGATGTCCTAATTTCACATGCCCAGCTCAATGGCTTTGCGCTGGGTTGCTCGAGCTTAGAATCTCTCTCTCCACGTCTGGACGAGAGAGGCGATGACGCCTGCCCACGAAACTCATCTGCCTCGGCTCCCTCTTTTTCTCTTGGTGATCTGAAAGAAGGATTGTGATCTTTCGCTGGCTTGACCATTTCAGCTGTCAAAACTTTTGCAACCGTGGAACGCGGACGTTTCGTAGGGCTCGGCAAGTGTATGCAGCTGATGTTGGCCTCGTGAGGTTTTCGCTTAGCTGGGGAGCAATTCTTTTCTTCATATTTCTTCACATAGAGGCTCGGGTGTTTGATTCTACAATCTCTCAAGCTATCACGAAGCCATTTCGGAGGCCTTGCATCTAGTTGATAAGACGTGGAATACTTACAAATAAGGTTAACATCCGCACAAACGATGGCATTGCAAAAGGGAGACGTCTTCTCCCTTATCAACGTACTTGCCTCTCTAAAACCCATTTCTGAAGCGGCAAAAACCTTTCCTTCTCCGCCATTCTCGCGGACGAGGTCGAGCAAGAGGGCAGCCCTCGAATGTGAAAACAGGATGCTGGGGACGAAGGCGATGTAATAATCATGAAAAAGACGACGTAATTTTGCGCCTTCGCCATCATTGCAGAATTTTTTCAAGTTGAGCTCATTCACAGCCGGCAGCCATTCCGTCTTGCACACTTGCGCCAACTGCTCGCGCGAGCACGCCCCCTCTGCAGAAGGATCACTCGGGGCCATTGTTTGCAGAACGCAAAACGCAGAATCGATAGAAGCGCCACAGAGATGAGAGCAAACGCACAAAGCTAGAGCTACAAATCTGTGGGAATTGTTTACACCAGAACGCGACGGAAGCTTGAGAACGCGACTGTGCAGCGCGTGGCAGTGGTCGACGAAGCGGGCTTTATTCTCGGATGGGTCTAGAAGAGAAGAAGCAAGGTGGTGGAATATCTCCATCGTGCGACTCGGCGCGCCGAGTACTCGGAAGGCCTTGCGCGCCTTTCTCTCGCTGTGAGCAGGGAGGTGGGGGAGGTGAGGACGGAGCGAGTGGGAGCCAGGACGCTCCTACTCGCTGGCAGTCTGGGAAAAAAAATGCACAAAAGTCGGATTTTTGGACGTTTTGGCGCGAAGAGTGGACCAATTGGGGCTTGGTGACACGCAACCAACCTTGTCGCCGTGGGCTTTCTGCGCAATGATTGGCTCGGGGGCAGAGTGGTGGGGACAGTCAGGCCCGTTGAGCAACCACCCAGATGATGGCAATCATGACTCCGCCTCCCGACTCTTGGGGACCCCATTCACTCGCTTTCTGCCCACTGTTCTCGTCTTTTCTTCTACGTGGAACCGGAGCAATGGGTCCTTGTATGGCAAACGCTTACCCTTGGGTAGGGTACCCTACATGTGGGATTTGTGCGTTGCCCTGGGAGCACGCATTATCCACCGCTCTGTTGCCTGTCCAACTACCCCTCGGTGTATCCTGTGGTGCAAAAATAGCGCTTGGACGAATCGAAGCGCTGCGAGTAAAGTTACAGTGCTCTCGCCCAATACACAATTGTGCCACTCATGAGCACAGCCTAACTCTTGTGAACGCTTTAAACCTCAAAGGCATGGTCGCGTACAGTGCGTAGACACATCCTCTCTCTTGAGAGCTCGCAGGGCAAGACCCAGCGCGCAGCTCGCTCATGCATTCGTCCACTCCATTTTCGACACATCCAGTACACGTGTGTGAAATCCCAATTTGACGTCACTAGCGTATATCCGTAGTCTGCTGAAACTGTCGTCGTGGCCAGCGCATTTTGTCTGTCTTGACCGAAACCAAGTGCGGCAGTTGGACAAAGATACTACGAAAGTCCCCGCAGCCTTTCTGTGATACGCTCTTCGCTGTGTTGTACACCCTCTTCATTCGTGGCCCCCCCTCCCCCCCGTCCCGCGACAAGTCTTCCCGTTCCGGCGTACCCTACAGCCTGCTCGCCAAGCTCCCACTCCACATTTACAGAATCGCAAACACCACAACCTCCGGGGCTCCGCATTCAATTTTTGAGCTGCACGCACATTAACATCTACAAATTCCTCTACCCCTTCTACCTTTTCCGCCCGGCACAGCCCCGCCCTTACACCCCGTCTTAGCTCCAGTGACTTCAACCGCCGTCCACACTCGCCATCCGAACATCATGGCTCGCCGCAACAACCGCAAACTGGCACGCGCACGCCACGACGCCCTTCTCGCCGACGAGCGCGAGCATCTGGACAAGCGCAAGACGCGTGCCGCTCGCCGTGCGCGCGCTGTGTCCCGCAGGAAGGTAGAAGCTGTTCTCTGCTCTGCATTTGTAAGTTATCGGCACTCCACGAGCGAGCCTGCGGCGGGCGACATGTAAGTACGGCTGGAATGCTGACAATTTTTGTGTAAGCGTGCTTAGAATTCGGGGTTCACGGTGGGGGAGGCCAGTTCGTCCGCGCCGAAGCTGGGGACGCCCGTGACAGGGGAAGTGGTGAAGGACGTGAAGATGAAGCCGGTAGGAAGCATTTCGAAAAAGGGAAAAGGGGGGAACAAGAAGGCAAAGAGACGCATGAAGAAGATTTTGCAACGCCAGTCCGATAGGAACGCTATGGTTATGTAAGGAGGATGGACTAGGGATTCAATGCGCGGTGGGGGGTTGGTGGTTAGCGATGGCGAAAACTGGATTGGTCATGGATGAATCGAAAGAAGAGTGCAGGAGATGTGGGGATGACCGCGGCGGACGTGTGTTTTTTCTGGAGGCGGCATTTGTAGATGTTGCTATTCCAGCGGTGTTGCTATTCCAGCAGTACTAGGCACTTGTCACCCTGTTCGAAAATAGCACGAGTGTTGTCGTTAGTACAGAAACAGTTCGCAGGAAAGAGTGTCTAAGAGGATTGCGATATAAGAATCAAAGAAAGCGCTGCACTGTTTCACTATTGTGTGAGGTCGTGCATCGACGAGCGCACAAAGCTCGACATTTGCTTGCTGTAATACCGTGCGGAAGTTTACACTATCGTTTGCACAGATAGCACTCGCACGTTCAAACAAGACAATTGAGGTTACGAAAAAGATCTTCCCAGAAGAGAGTGCGCTGGATCCTGGTTAAGTACGAAAGCCTGGAGATTACTTTTGTTCCAATTTTGAATGTGGGGTCAAGATAGCGACTAGGAACGTAAGTCGTTCCTTCAACTCAATCCAGATAAACTTCGTCGGGGGTACAATGAATGAACATGGCGGTGTTTTAGAGATTCAATTGTAGGAGAATTTTTACTGAAGCAAAAAGGGCCTCAGCATTTCTTGGTTAGTTCTGCTATGGCAGGCCGTAACGAGGACAATGCTGCGTCGGTCAGGCCTAACGGAACTCCAGGCGACGAGTTTTATACAGTGACCACTTGAAGCGCTTCATGTAAAGCATGCCAAAGAAGAGAATGGTGAAACCTCCGATCCACTCCATGCCCATTCTTTTCCGTTGGTCATGTTCCGGTTCCGCAGCCCAAGCCAAAAATGTGGAGACATCCTTTGCCATCTGGCTGGTAGTTGCCTCTGTGCCATCATCGTACTCGACAGCGCCGTCGTAAAGAGCCCTCTCCATGGCGATCTGGCCGCCAGCAAAGTACGGGTTGTAGTACAACCCTTCGCGTACGTTGATACCCTCGGGAGCGTCACGATACCCTGTCAACAAAGCCCAAAGGTAGTTTTCACCGCCGTGTCGGGCCTTGGTGATCAAGCTAAGATCGGGTGGCAGCGCGCCGTTGTTCGCGTAGCGAGCGGCTTCCTCGTTCGGGTACGGGGCCGGGAGAGTGTCTGCGAGACGTCCCGGGCGAGAAAACATAGCGCCTTCTTCGTTAGGTCCATCTTCAACGTCAATGTCCTCGGCCATTTCCTTGACCTCATCCACAGTGTAGGCGACGCCGACGAGGTTCCGAAATGCGATCCGGTTCATGGAATGGCACGAGGAACAGACATTCTTATAGACCTCATATCCACGCCGGATCGCTGCAGCGTCAAAAGAGGCAAGATACGGAGAATGCGGCCATGTGATGTGCGGGGGGTGGAGCACTTCATCGTCGGCATAAGCAACTGCTGCCAGAGGAATGGACCTCGTCTGATCGCGCGAGAGAGAGGCACCTGCTGCGAGGGTAGATGCGGCCGCGGCGGCGGCAAATGCCGGACGCGTTGCTAGGCGCCAGAGCGGAAGCGCCATTACGAACGGAAATTCGGTTGGAGATAACGAGGGGAAGGGGGGAAGCGCGGGACAATGGCTGGCGGGAGCGCTGCTGTGCGAGGTGACGATGATGTGGTGTTGTGTGCGGAGGGAATTGGCTCGCCGATCGCGCAGCTGGTTGGTTGGGATAGGTGCATCTTGCAGGAGTCGCAAAAAGTGGGAATTAATTCGAAAAATGTTTCAAAAAATTGTTCCGTCAAGTTTCTGTAATGCGGGCGGCGGACGGAGGCATTACAGTCGATTCCCTGAAAGGCGGATTCGACATGCGTGGCTATCGTTAGAAGGCGGAACGAAGAGAGTGTCAGACAAGCCAACCGGTGCCAGTGCTGGCAACAAACTACTACACATTTGTTAACGCGACGACTGTCTTCTTCCTCTGCCATGCGACCGCGCACCCCTCAACCAGTCCTATTAATTGCCTCGGCCCAGTCGTCATGCGTCATCTTCCACCAGTGTAGTCGGTGCAGATGCCGTCTCCGTCGCCGGACGGCCCGGCCCTCTCCCGCTTCCGCCACAGCATCTCCCTAGCCTTAGCTCGCCATTCCCGTCCCGCCTTCGAAGCCGCTTGCCATACCCTGACCCTCTCCACAACGCTACCCCTGGCAGACATTCTCGCTTCGCCGTCTTGTATCACCGACCCTCAACTCGCTGTACTGCTCTCTGCCGCTGTCGATCGGCGCTGGCTAGACTTCGCCCTCGTTTCGCAACCTCATTCTAGCACCACGACATGGGCGGGCATCCTAAAACGTGGTGTTCCACAGCCGTATCATTCTTTCGCTCGCCGACCCCCTCCAAGAGCTGTGCTGCTCACCACCGAAGCCGGCCTCCCCAAAACCTCTTTCCGTCGATGGAAGTGGGATGCCACTTGCATCCCATCCTCACCTTTACGTCGGGATCCGCCAGAGCCTCCTCCAGTCGGTCGTGATCTTTCACCGCACGCCGACGATGCTTCCTCCGTCGCTTCATCCTCATCAGGCACACTTTTGCTACGCCCCCTGTCAAGCGATCAGCTCGCTCAGGATTTGAGCAACCCCACAGCTTCCCAACCGGACGCGGAATTCGAAGCTGCGCTACTAGCTAGTATGCCCTGTATATCTGACGCGCGTCCAGCCGCCGCCGCTGCCGCTGGAGCCTTCCGCGCCCTCGTACCGTTTCTTCCTCCGGAAGAACAAAGAGCGCTAAGAAGTGCATTTTCTACTCTCCCACCAGCCGAATGCCTGGGCATGGTCGTGCGAATGGCAGAGCTTGCATCTGCTAAGCATGGCGTTGTTCGAAATTCGGCACAACATCAGAGACCTGCTGCGCTCCAGCCGCCAGTGCGTGCAGAAAGAATGCTCGCGCTCTCCGGGGCTGAAGGCGACGTTTGGGGGACGAATGTTGCGACCGGTTGGCCGGACGAGACAACTGTCGGCGACTCATGGGGAACTTCAAACCATCCAACTTTTAGAAACAGAGTTAGTGCGACAGCGAGCGCTAGTGGTCTAGATGTGAATGCGGCACCATTTACGATGGAGCGCTTGCAGCAGGGCTGGACAGAGGGGCTGTGACATGGCCTCGGTTTGAGCAGTATCCCTCCTGAATGAGAAGGACTACTTGCTCTTAGGAATGAATCACATGCTGCGTTTCACGATTTTTGTAAAACATGAAAATCCGGTGCAGCCTGTACCGTATGTTTAAGTGTTTCTTACCACGTGAAATCTAAAGCGAGAAAGGCACCTACTGGCTTTAGGGCATGCAGAGCCGTCATCTGCACTTGTATTACCGGTGCAGTTGACTACCCACGCGCGTCATGCACTTCAGCGATGTACGGGACACGTTTTGGTGCCCGGTTAACTCTGTAGTCATCACAAGATAATAAAAGACAGGCAGAAACTTCTATTCTATACAGGGACGCTGCGCCCTCCTGTGGCTCTGATTTCGATCATGATAAGAACATTGGTGTTTACGGAAACTAAAAAAAAGCGTTTGCAAGGAAACCAAAGCGCATCTAAGGGCCTACTCTCGAACTTCAACACGACACTCCACACATACAGTAGTCTGCGGTGCAAGTACAGAAGGATCGGGTAGGTGACCTGCAGGACAAGTACACATCTCCCCACTCAGATTTGGACGCGGCAATGGAGGCGGAACGAGTGGCCAAACCTCCACGGAGCACGCCGCCGTGCAAATAATAACGAGTAAAGTCTTTTTGAAGACTTGTGGTGGGCACCTCTAATGCCTCAATTCTGTATAATTTTCATTGTGGATGGGCCAATCATTGGCCAGTGTTGGCAACGATAGGGCCTGGATACGTGTACAATGTGGCACAGTTCCTGTGAACTATCGAAACCCCCTATGCATCCGCAGTAGCAACTGACCATTTGGCTGATTTCTGTTCTCCCCATAAAAGACACATTGTGCAACTCTACGCCAATTCATCACACAAACTTGCATTGAATTCGACCTCCAACACTATCATGGACCTGTTGCGATGCTTGTTTTGTTTAATTGTCGTTGTTTCCATCCTTTTGGCAAAGGTCTCAGGCATCTTCCAGGACGGGGCGACGTACGATGACCTCTCAGAGAAGCTCGGTACGGTCTCAGCTCTTCTTTTTATCACTGTTCGTTGGTGCGATCACTGCATCGCATTGAAGTCAGAGTTAAAAGCCTTGGCGAGTGCGGCCAGGCTTTCTGAAGATATACTTGTCGCCCAAGTAGATGCTGATGATGAGCCTGGAGTCGCCTCTAAGTTGGGCGTAACTGGGTTTCCGACAATTCTTTATGTCCCTTTCGGGCATGTTCTGGCCAGTGGAAGAGATGGGGTAGTAGAATTTGCAGATTACAGGTGGGCAGAGATCATTGCCGACTTTGTGAACAATGAAACAAAACAAGAGAGTCTCAAGCTGCAACCTCGGAAAGCTTTTTTAAAATGGCGCGAAAAACATCCATATAACGTCGGCAAAGAGGAAATGGAGAAAACTGCATCGGAAGAGAAAACTGAAAAGCCTCATATTCTACCCGAGATGACGGCTGTTAGGGAACCAGAGGTTTTCAATGGCGACCAGTTTCTACAGAATATTTTTTCAAACGCTGGGACAAGGTTCATAATTCTTTTCTACAAAAATGACGATCCGCTTATACGCGATGTAATGGTTCAGTGGCGACAAGCCACCAGCGCATTTACCGGTGCAGACAACATAACCGTGGGCGTGGTCAACCTCTCAGATGATGCCAATAAGCAGTTGGGTGAAACACTACGCATCACCGACACTCCTTTGTGTCTATACTACCCGAGGTGTGAGAATGGAGACCTACTTCCTGCGTGCAAAGAACCACTCTCGTGCGATGACGACCTCGATGACACAGAAAACATCATACAGTTCTTGTCGGATCGTATCCTGGAGGAAATGGGTGTTCAGATGCGGGAAACGGAACGTGAAGGCAAGGCTAAAACGTATCACCTCACTAAAGAACAGTATCAACAACTGAAGGCTGGTGGTAAGATATTTGCCAATGATCCTGATCATGCTGAGAAGATTCGAGACATCTACAATGCTGCTACGGAACGTGAGACAATAGAAGATAAGGATGAATTATGAACTAACTACGATGTGATCGGCTTTAGTGAACTGGGCAACTTCTTTATGTTAGCCGCAAGCCACGGAAAATCCTGAAGTCACAATTCATTTCCATAGTTGGTGGTCCCAGCGCTTTCCAGTATTTCCGAGTCTAGAGCAAGGTGAGAGAAAGTTGCCATACAGTGTAGGTACCAAAAGTATTGCTGTGTTTCCCATTCCATGCGAGAGGCTCGTGCCGAAGCGATCGAACTTGCTTGCATTTTTCTTCAGACACTTGGTACATGTGGCTGCGAGAACAATTCACGCGGGCAGTAGCACAAGTTACTATTCTGCACCTTAGGATCAGTTCAACATTTCTTGCAACAAATGCGATGGGACCTAGAGAAAGCATGTAGTCCTTGGAAACTGAAGCCAAAATTCCGAATTACGCATGCAGTTGTCGGATGTGCAATGTTCACTAGAGCATGTCGTTTGAGATCCTGTCTTAGCATTGCGTGGAACTCATCTTCATGGTTCTCTGGATACAGTACTTTCTCACTATTTGAAGTCAACGGGTGACGCAAGAAATCCAGTTCTGTCTTGAAACATCGCTCATGGAGTTAAATGAGTGAGTTAATTAGGCGCTATTGACGAGTTATGAAGCGATGGCTTGGCGCCCCAAACAGAGATCCTAAACCGGCTTGCACTTTCGGAGTCTTCATATTGAAAATGTTCCTATTGTTTCTAATGGTGATCTCATCGCCAGACGCACTCACATCACCGGCAGACAAAAACGAGTCATGTCTTCTCAAAAACCCCTGCACTGGAACGCTCTGAGCACTGACTGAGTCATTCAATGCAGCATCCACGCTGCGATCGCTAAAAGATGTTTCTTCCTTCGTTCGCACAGAATCTGAGTCCAAGACACTCGTCCTTCTCTTCTTCATTGTCATATCATATGTAAACGCGGGTGTCGTGACTCGATCGGGCAGCGGTTCTGCCCCATCGATTCTTGCAGGTAGTAGCGGTATCCTTTCGACTTCTCCTTCGCTCTCAAGACTTGCGAACGGCACGGGGGCTACATTTGTTGTTTCGTTTCCGAGGTTTCTGCTCGATGCTCTCTGTCTCCATTCTAGAATCCGCTTCCTTGCTTCGTCATTCGCTCCCCGTGGCGTTTTGGATGCATTTGATGCATTGGAGAATAACGAGTTCGTGGTTGTTCGCCTCAACGAATTTCGTTCCTGCACAAGTCTGCCAACTGACTTCTTTGCACTAATCAGTTCCCCCTCCAAGGTGGCATTTCGTTCTATCACAGCCTCGGTTTTGAGACCTCTCTCAGCGACCTTCTCTAGCCTCTTCAACCGATCGCGCATGGCATCTAACTCTTCCCTCGCATCTCTCAAATCTGCTTCTGCTCTTGCAGCAAGGGCCAGTGCCGCGTCCTCTCCGCCAACGCTTTCCTTCTCTACCATCACCGCGTCCAGTTGTTTTCGCAGCGTATCCCTCTCAGCGACAATTTCTCTCATCTCCTCAGCTGTCGGTGCCTTCGACCCCTTCAGCGTCTTCCTCGCACGCAAAACAGTAGCAGCGGCCCCCAGATGCGGT